TTTTAATCCGCAGAAGCCACAGACTCACCAAAGTGACACTCATTCAAACCACCAACTCTTAATTGTCACTGGAACATTCTCATTGGGCCTAGAGAAGCATTGGGCAGTAACAGCAACGTAATGTAGCCTCCTGCGATGTCACTTGCTCGTGGTATGAGCACATGGTGGCAGGGCACCAAGCCCGACATGATGCCTTCGTCATCTGGCATGAGCTCATTGGTGAGCCCGTGTCAAGCAAAACCTCTTGCAGTGTGAAATTTTAGCACAAGACACAGAGCGACAGAGTGAGTACAACTGCTCCATTGTCACTGTGGTGACGATCGCTCCATTGTCACATTGTAAATATTGATAAGCATGGACTCCGGCTAAAGCGCGGTCTAAGATGATGCAGGGCAGCAACCGGACGATTGGGCTGTCGTCACTTGAAGTGGTTGCTGTTTGAACCGGCAACTCGCTCCAATGCTGCCTGAAGGTGGACACTGGGCGATGCGACATCACCTCCTGTACGCCGTCGCTATGGCACATAGAAGTTGCTGGGGGGCATGGGCACCACGGTGGCGAGATGTTAACTTCCTCGCTAGGTATGGAGGAGGTGGTGGGTTCGATCCCAACCCTGATGCCTGTATATTTAGAGTTTGCGTGTCTCTCTCCCCATGGTTACGTGGATTTTTCTCCGGGTCCTCTGGTTTTCCCCTCCACATTTAGAAACACACGTTTACAGTATTTGTCTGCGATAAATTTCCACATGATAAGCCACTTCGTTGAGCTATGATTTGTGGCCAGGTCTCTTCTGAAAAAGAGTTTTATAGCTCAGTGGGCCTTACCTGGTAAAAGAAAACATTGTTAAAGAAAATACAGTATATTACGGCAGTCGGCACTAATTGAGTCACAGTAAAGCGGTAATTGGCAGATGATAAATAAATGTTTGCTACCAGGAGAACATACGGCGATGCCACCCCTGTGCCCCGTGCTGCGACGATGTCACCGTACGGCCCTTCCTGCCGAGGCACGAGAGCTGCCGCGTGCGTGTCTCGCTGTGTTTAGTAAAGGCGCAAATGAGATCGCGTGGCGCATTGTGGTGTCAATTTACCACCGCAACTTTTACTCTCTCATATTGCAAGTCTTTGACGGTGACAACGGGGAAAATGTACAGCTCGTGTGCGGTACCTAATCAGACCAATACTTAAGCATGCAAGAAAGGAGACGCAAGCTCAATTAAACCCTTCCACAAATATTCAAGAGGGCACCCTGTGCACAAGCGCTGGCTTCTCGAGAGCCCTGCGAGTGTTCGTCCTGCGTGGAAATGTCTGTGAACGAGAACACGAGCCGAGTCAATGTGATGGAGGCTTGACGATGCTGCACGGTGTCAGGTGATTGGCACGCCTGCTGTGAGGCTAGTGGCACGCCTGGTGTCAGGTCAGTAATCGGGTCGTACTCGTATGAGGTCACTGCCACACCTCGCTTCAGGTCCGTGTCACAATTGCCGCCGGGCTAATGGCACACCTGGTGTCACGTCAGCGTTCATATTGTCAGATCATTGTGACACCTGGTGTCATACCAATAATATTGGCGGCGAGTCAGAGATATACCTGGTATCCAGTCATGAGTACTGGCGTCAGGTCAGTGGCACGCAGTGGCACGCAGTGGCACGCAGTGGCACACTGGCTGCCTTGCTGTCTGGCCAAGGACAGTTTGAATTCAGAAGCGCGCGTGACAACGATCAGGGCTTGGCGTGCCGCATCACTGAGGCATTCTCACCGCATTTCATAACAGATGGAAATGTTGCGTCACAGAGCGCAACCCCCCTGTTGCCTCGTGCAACGTTCTTCCACAGAATGCAGTGGAGCATTCGGAAGCAATGCTCCGGTGTGTCGGGGGCCTGAGTCTCCACACCGAGCCAGGCCCACCGAGGGCCTGCGTTTCAGGTGCCCCCTTGACTCCCTCTGGATTATCACACTTCCTGGTAGTTCATGATACGTCAATGTCAGCCCAGCCAGAGAGATGCCTGCACAGCATCTTTAATGTTTTAACATTGTACAGAGTTTGAACACGATTACGGCATGCTCAGCTTCTAGGTGTGACGCTGAACCAGCAAAGCAGCTCATGAAAGTTCATGAATATTCGCCCTGGGGATGTCCCGTGGAGTCTCAAACCAGGGCTGTTCCCCGACGATGTATCCCTCTGTGATGTATCTCTCTGTGATGTATCTCTCTGTGATGTATCTCTCTGTGATGTATCTCTGCTGTAGACGATGCTGTAGATGATTTAGACGATGCAGATGATGCTGTAGACGATGTAGATGATGCTGTAGACGATGTAGAGATGTAGATGGTGTAGATGATGTAGACGATGCTGTAGATGATGTATCTCTCTGTTGTAGATGTGCAATGCAAGAGATAAGATGTGAGTTAAGTGGTTGCCCAATGCAGAAAGTTCGGTGGTGCCAATTCCGGTTGCTAATTGTTGTGCAAAAAAACATTCAGCCCATTCTAGAACTGGTCATTTTGGGCCACGTGTGTGCCACGCGCCTGTTCCTGCATACGCATGGAGAGCGGTAGCGCAATGGTTCGTGCACTTGGCTATGAACCCAGCGACCCGAGTGAGAATCCCGCTCACGACCAAAAACAGTGGAGAATATTTGAACCAGTCATGGGCCTCCCCGAGGTCGACTCAGGGCCTCAAGTAAGTATCTGGTGCGGTGTGTAAACATCGTCGCTAGGGAGACAAAAGTGGCCGGGTGTGGTGCTGGCCACCCATCCCCTCGAGTGCCGTGACGACCTTCATCGGCGCTCGCTAACAGCACTTGCCCCAAAAGTCTATTAAGGCTATACGGGGGACCTTTGTCTTTGTGGGTGAAGCTTGGCATAATTATGATCACATTGTGCAACAAACCTGGCGATCTGGGTTTGATTCCTGGCCATAGGTGGGAGTGGCGATTATCTGAACCGGTTCTGGGCCTCCCCTATGTCGACTCAGTGTTTAATGAGTACTGTATTGTGCCTGTTGTGGTATGTAAGTATTGGCACTGGGGAGACAAAAGCGGCTTGGTGTGATACGAGCCACATCACCCCCTTGTGTGCTGTGTCGGCCTTGCTAGGTGAATGCTAACAGCAATTGACAGTCTAAAGAGGCTATATGGATGATCTGTGTGTGCGTGTGTGTGAATGGCAGTGGCTTGTGGTCTTTATTTCAGTGCAGTCGTGGCGCAATGGATTTACATTCTCAGCTATTCACAGTGGGGTGTGTGGTGTTATATCAGGCTGCCCCGGTCCTCCACAAGGTTGACAATTCTTACACAAACGACACGGTGCGGTGTGTGGATACAGTGCTGGAGAGACAAAGGCGGCCGGACAGCACTAATCATGCCACCCCGTTGTGTGCTGCGCTCGTGATCAGCGCTTGCCCCTACAAGCCCATATTCCATGGGAACAAGTGCAACAACAGCTTGACTTGTGCGTGCGTGTGCGTGTGTTTGAAGCACATGTTCCCGCAATTCACTTCTCGACGACGGTGGTCACATGGGTTCTCGCGTGCTGATTGCTGCGCGCTTTGTCGTGGCGCCAACTTTTTGCAGAATTCTACCACATGATGGCACGCTCCCCTGCCATAATACGAAGCACACATGACTCACGAACAACCCTTAATGTCCCCTGCAGCTTCTCTCCTTTCCCTCCTGGGAACATGACTCAGACACACCCCGTGCTCTCTCCCCCACTGCCTTCTTGCTGCCTTCCTTCCCTGCCTCCATACAATCCCCACCATCCTCCGCTCTCTCCCTCCACGACTGTCAAGAATATAGAGTCCGCATTCTACAAGGCCAGGGGCGTTATCAGGTGGCACGCTCCAGAAATGTACGACAACAGCTACGTGGGCAACGTGGCGGGTGTGGATGGAGGTGGCGGATATTTTTCGGGAGCGACTGGGCACGGTGCTCATGACCCAGCACAATCCTCGCCTGCAGCCTCGACTCCACCCTGGCCCACTGCAGTGCGATCCATCTTCACCAATACCAGCGCCCGCCCTCTGCCATTCGTCTATATTTAGTTTCTGGTCGATCGGAAGGCCATCTCATATATAGATCCTCATGACACATGCTGTATATTAAGCCTCTAATAATTCGCTCTATTTCTGAATCGACGAACTGCCTCGATTTGATTTGAAGCATGCGCTCTGAGCATAACTATCGGTTTGAGCTGATGAATCGATGAATATTTTACCCCTTATTTGGTGTACACTTTACTCATTCGTCCGTGTGTTACACTCTCCTTTTATCGGTGAATAGTAAATTACAAACGAATTTTTTATCTTATTGTGTAGCGGTTAGCACCTTGCACTACGAATCCAGTGACCTGGGTTCAATTCCAGCTCATGGCCAACACCGGTGACGATTATCTGAACCGGTCCTGGGCCTCCCCTATGTCGACTCAGCCTCAAATGAGTACCTGGTGCGGTGTGTAAACATCACCACTGTGGAGACAAAGGCGGCCGGGCGTGGTGCTGGCCACCCACCCCCACGTGTGCCGTGCCGGCCTCCATAGGTGCTCGCTAACGACACTTGCCCCAACGGTCTTTTGAGGCTATACGGGGGATCTTTGTATTTGTGTGCGTATTAGAATGCGTGGCATCTGATTAGAGTGTGTGGACGTGTGGAAGTGCGAGTCGTCTCATGCGGGCGACACGACAACGCCGAGATCTCGCCGAGTTAGTGGCGGCGTGTGCCCGGGTCTCATTCTCATCGTGCCCATCTTTACCTGCAGGAATCCACTCCCGTCCACACCTTCCCTCCTGGTGGCTGCCCTCCCCTCTCGCCCCCTACCCGCCATATCTCATTCTCTCCCATTTCTCTCCCTCTAAATCTGGCTCCGTCCACTTCCTGAAGCCTCATTCCTGAGATTAGATGCTAGAAAGCAGCAGCAGGCAAACCTTCGTAATCAGTCGCCTTGATTTAACGATATCACATGTATTTTTCTATTTGTGTGCGTCTTCCCCACCCCTCCCAGCCTGGCTGCCTGTGATCATCCTCAATCAGCCGTACGTCTCTCCGTTCCACCGGGGGTTCTACTGCGACGACGAGAGCATCCAGTACCCCTTAAAAGGGAGCACCATCACGCACCAGGTGCTCTACGCCGTGGGCGTCATCCTGCCGATGGCCTCGGTGAGTTCTGACGCCCAGATACCGGCCTCCCGCGTTAACTCGCAAACAACGACAACAACAAGCAACGTCAACAACGGTCGCCATGCATCACGGTGCTATTTTTAGAGACGGTTTCTGATTGCCGGTTCAAAGGACCTATAAACACGTAGGATTACAGGATCGGAGAGCACTCGTGCTGGTATAGCGGATGAGAATGGGACGCATTACATGAGTCGAGCGAGGTAGCGGCGGCGCAGCGGGTCGTGCACGGGCGCTTTGACCCCGGAGAACTGAAATAGAGTTCTGCCCGTGGCCCACGTGATTGCCGAATGATATCTGAGCCTATCCTGGGCTCTTGGCTGCTGTTGGTAGCCGGGTAAACGTTTTTTCATGAGCCCTCTCCACCAAAGGCGGTCTTCGCAACACCGTTGAGCCCCGTCTTTCTGGCTGAACGGGAGCTGCCTCGGCACGTTGTAGATGGGCTTGCGGGCTGAAAAACACAGCAGATGCACAGACACGCACACAGAGAGGCATGCGCACACAGAGGCACGCGCACACAGAGATACGCACACAGAGAGACACGTGCACAGAGACACACGCACGTGAGACTTGGTGTTTAGTGTTACACACTTGCTGCCATTAACGAGCGCCTTCAAAGCTTCTCACAGCAGACATGGGGATGATGTGGCCAGACATGTTCAGGTACCATTGTCTCCCCAGTGGTGATGTTGACACATTGTACCAAGGCCTCGTTTAAGGCGGATTTGACCCAGGTGAGGCCCTAGGTGGGTTCAGATACAAGTTCCCTCTCGTGTTATTTATGGCTGCCAGGATTATTGCACAGTGCACACATGTACACATGTACACGTGTGCTGAGCATCATTTTCCTGCTAGATGTTAGAGCCTTTAACTTCCTCACCTGACCTCACTCTCCATATAAAAATTAACAGCTCTCATACTCGCTGGTTCTCGCGGTACAGTCACGTAGATAGAAAAAAGATTAAAAGATGTTTCTAAAAAATACGCGTTTACTGATTCAAGACTAAACTTAATTTGAAGCTTTCGTGACTGCAGAAAGTGCTCTTTGTTTCTTTCGGTAAAGTCACGTGACTTTGCTGAAAGAACCAAAGAGTAATTCAAGACTCAAGATTGTAATCTCATTGACATGCGAATTTCTCCAGCCCCCACCCGTTCCTACACGCCACAAACCCTCCCCCCCCTCCCCCCTGAACTCCTGCAGCCACGACTCTACAAACCCCCCCTTACCCCCCCTCCCGTGCCTATATAAAGCCACAACAGCAGATCATTCTTTCTTACCTGATGACGGACGCAAGACCGAAACGTCGTGTTCTTTTATTATTTTGTCTACCTACGTGACTTTACCGAAAGAACCAGAGAGTATGGATTCCTGCAGTCACAAAAGCTTCAAATCAAGATTGAGCTCTCATACTGTGCGTGTATGTGCATATATACACACACACACACCTCTGCCTAACGCGACAGTAAAACTTGGTTTGTTTGAAAATTAACCTTTTAATAATAAATCACGTTTGTGGTTTAAAGGCCTGTAGTGATTGACGGTGCATCAAACATTAACTTGCATGGCGGTGGCGTCACTAGAGTGCGATAGTGACACGCTTGACCATGAAATACAAGTAAATGTTCGTATGAATTCTGGACTCCAGGTGTGTTGTCTTCCTTGAACACGGTCAAAAACGCGTTGACAAACAACGCTTGGGGTCTCGGCGCTCGCTCGCAAGAGATGCCCTTTGCGGACTGCGACGTCATGGCTATTGGTGATTATCTGTATGACAGACGTGACGTAAATGTAACCGTGATGACAGTGATAATGGTCGTGGAAAATACATACCTCAACGATATTTATAACTTAACTTAAAGCTTTCGTGAGAAGTCCCCATTGCGGACAAAAGTATGCATTGCAAGGGACACCCGGGATGATGTAAAGTACGTCACGGTACAATCGTGAAATCAACAAAGACGAGAAATAAATATTTATCCCCGCAAAGAATGTAAATAACTTGTGCAACAAACAAACACATTCCCACGGTGAAGGTTGTGCTGGTGCTCTTGATAAGTAAGGCATGTCATGATGCAACCGTTCATCAATTGACTTTGAGTCTTATGCTCGCGATACATACATCAAGTTGCACGTGTGCAGGAAACTATGATTAATGCTACATGTAATTTGGTCACGTGACACCTGCTAAAATATAATTAGGTTCTCGAATTGCATTGCAACTCCGAATTGTGCAAGTTCATTGAATCAGGAAAATGTACGCATGGGTGAACACTAAGCTTGGTGCGCTGTAGCTGACTATTCTATTCCGAAATCACACGGTAATTTCAGTGCGAGGCTACCAAAGCACTCCATGTGCCACGAGGCTAAAATTAAATACCATGTTCTATTCAAGGGTATATCATTGTGTGCTTAGAGTACTGCCAAAATATCAAACGTGAAAATTATCCTTCATTGTGAAAAGTGAACGTATTCCTTTACGTAAGTGACCCAGAGTCAAAGCTGTGTCCTGCTCTCATCTCCGGTGCGCAGAGCCGAGCCAGTTGGTGAAATTCCACATTCCTATGGCGGGGGAGAGTCTTTCCATAGGACAAGCACTGGTGACTTCCCCACAAAGTGGAAGGCCAGAGAGAGTCTCCAAGTGACACGCCCGTAGAGAGTGGTAGCTCCCAATGTGGGGGGCACCCCCTTGTGAAAGAGATCACGAGTCACCTGGTTAAATAATGACACTTCTCGGTGCAGATATGCACAACTGGTTGAGTGGCCTTTCTCTGCGCCGCACGCGTCACCTCCCTGAACAAAGTTGGTCGTCTTCAAGTCGAGCGTGAGCTGGGCGGCTGTGTTCGTGGCAAGGGCCTCCTCCGCTCCGCTCCGTCTCGTGAGCTGCGACCCGCCGGGTGCGATGGGAGTCTCTCTGTGGCCGTGACACCTCGCACTTGTTTGTTTTCGAAGCGTTGGTAAAAATAGGTGATGACTCGCGAGCTCTGGGCGGTGTTGGGATGGGGAGTGAGCGGGCGAGCCGGCTCGCTCGCTCACGAACGTTTGCCTGATGGACTGGGCCACTGAGCTCTCTTCGCAGGCTCACAGAGTCATCTTCTTTATTGAGCTTCACACTCGTCAGGAACGTGACAGCTGCCCCCCCTCCCCGTGCCCCCTCGCAGTCCGATTCTTTTTCACGATTGAGGGTCGTGATTCAATTCGGAAACCTCTCCTCCTTTGCCATTTGCGGGAAGGCGGCGCCTCTAGTGGCCACGTGCGTCCACGTGAATCAGTTTGCACTGCACGCCACTTTCACGATTCGACAACTAAACAATTCCTCACGTGTGCTTGGCGCACTCCTCCCCTTTGCCATTGACACAAAGTGGCCACCGGCTCCCACGTGCGGCCTGTGCAGTGCTTCTGTCGATCGACTTCTGCACGAGCGCCTCCCTCCACACACACGTGGGCTGTGGTTGTTTTGACCATACTTCACCACACTGCTAGGGGCGGGCTGATAAAGGAAGGGGGCATAGGCGCGGGGTCCTGTGTGTGTGTGTACTAGGACTGTGTGTGTGTGTGTGTATACACTGTGTGTGTGTGCACTGGGACTGTGTGTGTGTACACTGTGTGTGTGTGTGCACTAGGACTGTGTGTGTGTGTGTACACTGGCACTGTGTGTGTGTGTGTGCAGAGCCTAGCTAGATTTTCTGGCACCTGGGGCAAGGTGCCATGACACCGATGCAGCGCTGCCTCGCCACTATTTGAGCCGTGGGCCGGGCCGTGTTGCTTGCTGCGTTTTCAGAAGTCCGGCGACGCAATAGGTCGGCCGCCCCACCCCGGCCTTCCCCGCCCCAGCCTTGCTCTACGGCACCGCGTGATGAGCACGCGTCTCTTACTCGAGGTCACGCCGGAGGAGAGAGGGAGGGTTAGGGGGCAAGGCTGATTGAGCAGTCTGTGAGAGGAGCAATGGAGGGGAAGAAGAACGTGATGGCGAGACGGTAGGCATCAAGCGAGAGATTGAGGTGGGGGCAAGGCTTAGTGAAGGGACGGGATCGGTGGATCGTGGCACTGCAGCCCCCGCCGGCGGTGGACGGCGTTTAGATCGCACAATGAGTCTTGTGTTTATAATAATACATTATTGTTCAATTGCAGACTAGCGCATTATGTAACTTGGCCGTCAATGCGGTGGCGGTGTAATCACGAGCGAGCGCGCCTCTGCACGCCTCTTTGCGCGCCCGCGAGCTTCCCTCCCGTCGCCTTTGCATCCGCCGCAGATGATCGTGGGGGAGTGCGTGGCCGTGCGCTACCTCAAGCACCGGCCGACGTCGTTCGTGCACAGCCCGTACGTGGTGGCCCTCTACCGCGCGCTGGGGCCCTTCCTGCTGGGCATGGCCGTGAGCCAGAGCTTCACCAACGTCGCCAAGTTCGCCATCGGCCGCCCGCGCCCGCACTTCTTGGCCGTGTGCCGCCCCGACCCCGCGCTGCTCAACTGCTCGGCCGGCTACATCACCGACAAGGTGTGCACCGGCGCCCCCGACGACGTCATCGCCGCACGGTGAGACCTCGGTGCGCTCGTGGACCGTGCGTGTGTGTGTGGCATGTGTGTGTGGCATGTGTGTGTGGCGTGTGTGTGTGTGGCGTGTGTGTGTGGCGTGTGTGTGTGGCGTGTGTGTGTGGCGTGTGTGTGTGGCGTGTGTGTGTGTACCGTATGTGTGTGTGTGGCATGTATGTGTGCTGTGTGTACCGTGTTTGTGTGTGTGGCATGTGTGGGCCTGTGGGCGTGCGTTTGCGCCTGCGGGTGCCGCTGTGCTACGGGGCGTTTGGAGGCAGTCGCCCTCCGACAAGACCGGCAGGGTGGAGAAACAACGCTGATGACAACGAGCAGAGCGCCGGGCGGCTAAAACGTAGCGAGGTGGCGTAGTGGGGAGCACAGCTGCTGCTGCATCTGCCGGTTGTCATCTCAGTCGGTCAACCCATGGCACTTGCTGGGTCTGTCCCGTGACCTCCTGCACCTAGCCTGGCACAGTAGAGGGGCAGAGCTGGTGGTGAATCTACCAGTCATCTCAGTCGGTCAACCCGTGGCACCTGCTGTGTCTGTCCCGTGACCTGTCAGCAGCGAGCGTTCGACACTTCACGTGGCCTCAAAGTGCACCTGGCCTCGCACAAGCGCAGTGGTGATGTCACCGCCACTTAGTGGTGAATGACGGCTGTTGTTTTTGTTGTGTGTGTGTGTGTGCCTGTGTGTGTGCGTCCACACACGTTGAACTGGATATAATGTGAGGAGAGATGCTGTTCCCTAGGGGTGGCAATATCGATTCATAAGCTCACGATACATGCATTGAATTGCGAGCGTATACAAATCTTCAATCGAATCACTGGCATGCAAACGCGAGAGTTGAACGATTCACCACGGGGTGGGTGAACCTTTGCTGCCCCGCTCTTCACCACGAGTTATTTCCCTTTGCAGGAAGTCGTTCTACTCCGGCCATGCCTCGTTCGCAATGTACACCTTGATGTACCTGGCGGTGAGTATCCCCCCCTCACCCTCCACACACACAGAGCACCCTCGCTCCGGGGTTCATGTGGAGGCCGCTGACACACTCCTTCTTCAGACACCTTGACAGCCACACGCCCAGAAATCCAGAGGCAAAGCGCTTGGGGCTCCCTCCCCCCTCCCCAACTCGCTGTCACCGTAATACCTCCCAGAATGAGAATCTTTTTTCTACTGAAGTCATCCGATGAGCTGTGATGCTATTTGTTCACAGATGTCTTGTGTAACAGATGTGTCCCTCCCATCCCACGTGGCCTTGTGCCACCTTCTCAGTCTTTGGATTCTTGGGCAGGAGTTCAGCTACAGACAAGTTGGGCTCCTGCACCAGGGCAGTTTTTTTTGTTAGTTCTCCAAAACTGCTCTGAAAGGAGGATTAGAAAAACATACTCCTCTACCAGAAGTCATTCCAGAAGTTATCTTTGTTTGAGGTGTCTGTAAAGAAGCAGATGATTGTGAAGGAGAGCTCAAGGAGACATTAACTTTAAATAAAACAACACTCTTGGGGGCTTCTCTTTGAAACCTCATCGGCCTTGCTCCCGTCACCGCATGTAGTATTCTACGTGTGTCTCACTCAGTTGTATTGTCACAGGGGTCATAATTTTGGGACCACAAAGTGTCATAAACTATGTAATATTGTGTGACATTCCACATATAATGTGTCCCACGTCACATTCCTTGCGGAACAATTGCCCGAGTGGCAAACTTAGAAAGTTATTCCCGGTGTAACAACATTCCTATGAATGGCATTCCAAGCATAGCAACGTTCACACTTTGTCGTCCTCGTGCCAGCCAGTCCTGCCAGTCGATCTTAATGCGTGTCGCCTTCTCCTCATCATTCTCTGTCATCCCCGCGCGTCTGTCACCCTCCGTGTTATTATCGGTACGTATCATCCCCGTGTGCTCTTGTCTCTGTATAAACCTGCGCGTCACGACCTCTGCGCCATTCTCGTGCGTGCGTTTGTGTCTCACCCCACGTGTTGTTCTCTCCGTGTCTTGTTCGAATGCCGTTCTCTCCGTGCGTTGTGCTCTCCGTGTCATCGCCAGGTGTCATTCTCTCCGACGGTCCCGGCGAGTTATTCCCCGTGTCGCCCCCCTCTGTCTTTTCCTGCCCGTGTCTTTGTTTCACCGCCGTCCGTCGTCCCCGTGTCCCCCCGTGCGTTCCCGCTCGTGCGCCGTCAGCTCTACGTGGAGTCTCGCCTGCGCTGGCGCGGCGCCCGCATCCTGCGCCCCTTCGTGGAGTTCGTGCTGGTGCTCATGGCCGTGTACGTGGGGCTGTCGCGCGTCTCCGACTACAAGCACCACTGGAGCGACGTCCTCGTGGGCCTCCTGCAGGGAGCCGCCGTCGCCTTCGCCACCGTGAGCCTCGCCCCCCCCCCGCCCCCCTCGAGCCTCGGTTCGCACGCGTCGCCCCTTCGGTCGATCCGCTGCTGGATCACACTACGTTAAAAAAGAAAGCTTTCTGGGGAATCCGGAGTACCCAGAGAAAGCCCACGCGTGACCCACGCGTGACCCATGCGCGTGCGAGGGGCGTAACGCTCGATCCCCGTACAGATGTAAGTTAATCCACTTGCTCTGTTGCCATCCCACGTGCATGGAGTGTGAGATCCCCCACCAACGCTCGCGTGCAAAGTGCCGCATTGCAGGCGCGTTATGCCGGCGCCCGCCCGAATGCAGTGCGTCTAACAATTATACAACGTTCACTTCGCTGGCCTCCAAATACGGAGCGAGTCTCTGCCAGCAATTACCCCGCAGTCGACCGGGAAACGCGCCTGCCTGTGAGAGCACACGATGGGGAATTACAGGAGTCAACAAAATCTCTCCTTCAGAGGACCTCTCCCGTGCGGCCACCTGGTGGCGCTCTCTGGTTGGATAAATAGGGCGTGTGTGTGCGTGTGTGTGTGCGTGTGTCTGTGCGTGTGTGTGTGCGTGTGCGAGCGTGTGTGTGCGTGTGTGTGTGTGTGCGTGTGCGTGCGTTGGGCTCTCGGAGCCGAGTGCAGCCACTTGTTTCGCACTTTGTTTTTAAATCGGCTGTGAAGTTTTGTGCAGTCAGTTACAATCCACCAGACAACCATTGAACTGGCTGCACATTTAACTTCCTTTTCTGTGTCACCATCTCGGCAGGGCTGCCGCGCCGTTAGAGAGCCCTGGCGATTTGGAAGCGGGGGGGGGGGGTTAGTGGATCACACAGAGACAATCTCAAACAAGGCCGGCGAATCAATGAGTACAGTACACATATCAATCATTGCCGGCCAGTCGGCACGCACCTCTTGAGTGGGAGCTGTGCGTGTGTGTGTGCGCATGTGTGTGTGTGCGACGTGCGTGTGTGTGTGTGCGTGTGTGTGTGTGCGTGTGTGTGTGTGTGCGCATGTGTGTGTGTGCGACGTGCGTGTGTGTGTGTGCGTGTGTGTGTGCGACGTGCGTGTGTGTGCGCGTGTGTGTGTGTGTGTGCGTGTGTGTGTGTGTGTGCGTGTGTGTGTGTGCGACGTGCGTGTGACTCTGCCTGTGTTTGCCTGGCAGGCGTTGCTCGTCTCGGACCTCTTTGTGGACGGCTGGAAGCAGGGCAGGGTGCGGAGCGACGCCAGCGGTGAAGTGGCGAGGGAAGACGAGGAATCGGCGCGCTCCGCTCCGCCCCTGGGCCCAGGCCTCGGGGCCGAATCGCGGCCTGGCTACGGCGTGTGTCGGCGACCGGCTCCCAGCGCACGCCTCGAGGAGGAGGAAGAGGAGGAAGAGTAGGGGGTGGGGAGCAGCAGCTGTGGGGTCACGCTATGGGGGGCACGGTTCTTACCCCCCGGCCGAGTCCACCAACTTTTTTCTGCCTCTACGTTTCCACGGTGGCCGGTTTGCTCGCTGCTGCCTCCCCGCAAACTTCACCGCTGCGCGAGGAGCTTGCTCGCAGCCTATCCGTGCCGCGGTGACATTTGCCCGCAGGACTGGCACCGGCGAATGCACCGACGAGCTCGGAGTGGTCGCGGTCGCCACCTCCTTCGTCACCATCGCGGTCGTTGCCGTCCCTTGGGCACCGATCCTCGGGCATTCGTCGTAAATTTCAATCGCCATCGTCGGCACCGTTTCATCAGCTTCGTCTTGGTCACTGCGTCTTGTTTTTAGTTTCTGAAGAAGCTGCCGTCACGTGGAGTCAAACGTCGGACACCGTGCCAAACAACATGGCGGTACGACCCGAAAACACAGCGGGAGAGCTGGCATGCCATGGTTGTCACCTTGTGTTCATCATCATCATTGTCCTGAGTACAAGATCATCACCATGGTCATAATTGATACTCCTCATCCTCACCATATTTGCTGTTTAAGCCACTAATTTCTTTTTTTACCACTGGAGCTGTAAAGTGCCGACCCTAAATCACGAGGTATAGTTCCGCACGACGCCTCCGCGGGCGCTCCACGAGGCGGGCCGTGTGGCCGAGCGCTCCGATTGGCCGGTGGAGCGAGGAGCTGTCGTGGGGCCTTGTGTCCACTCCATCGGTCGCGGGGGCGGCCGGGGGTCACGGGAGGCGCGATGACCACTCTCGCGTGGGAGCGCGGCGGAGGCGGCCGCTGTCGGAGGAGTGGCCGTGAGTTTGACTCGGGGTCCCAGGAGGAACCACTGAATGGGCTCGCAGCCACTTCTGTGGGGAAAACGGCTACGCTGCTGTGTGTGCGCTTTGTGTGTCTGTGCACAGACACAGTCCAAAAGTTTAAAAAATGTGATTCAAAAGTATGCCCCGACTCGAACATTTTACATTTTTATTCTACTCTAGTAACTAACCCTCTATTTATGTACTATCATGTAGTGTTATTGGCATGTCAAAATGTTAACATCTAATTAAGCCTAATGGTCTTGTATTACCATTGTATTAGCCAACAATCTCATTTTCAAGACGTTTTGACCGCCGCAATGTGTATATAAGCGAATAATGCGTATTATTGCTTCAGTCCCACGAATTTTAAAAAGGTAAATAAAATTGTCTCTACTCTCTCTCATTCCCTTGCTACCCACGTTACTCGGCACCCACCTCGCCCCCCGTGACGTCCCAGCACCTGGCACGGGCACGCGGTGGCACCAGGGCCTCTCAGGGGTCACCCCGAGCTCCCATCGGGCGCGTCGATGGCCTCTCGTCTGTGCTGACGCGGCTGTGGGACCGGGAGAGGATGGGTGGTGCGTAGGCTTCGTGCTTGAACCGGAGCAAGTCACCGACCGACATCCATGGCCCTGCTATTGTGTTAATGGGGAGTACGGTTGCGGGATGCCTTGTGTTCACCCTGTGGTTGTTGTGTGGTTGTCTTGTGGTTGTGGAATGTAATTGCAATGTATGCAAGGATGGGTCTGCTGTGCCATTCTCTTTGAGCAGTATAGTTTATGGAATGTGTTAATCTGAACCCCTTTGGTCCTAGAATGTGGGTATGAATGCTTTGTGATTGTCGCGCCTTGTCACGTGGCTGTGGGCAACTGGGTTCAGGGGCAACTTGCAACTCACATTGGTACCTGTATCACGATTCTCATCACAATGCCTACGGTCATGAGATCACCGCTTGACTAATCAAGGGATGATGCCAAGTCCTGATGGCGTTGGAATGTCAGGAACAACTTCAACTGTGCTCTTATTAAAATAAGTCTGCCTTAACTTTGACTTCCCAACAGCCTAAACTTCCGTGATGGTGGAAATAATTTCATTGGAGAACTGGGTAAAAACACACAGGGTACGTGATAGTGTGGAGTACAAAGTGTGGAAAAATTCATGTTGCAATTTTTTACCTATAAAATACGTTACAAACAGATGTACAATGATGACAATTGGGAATATTTGGGGCGGAACAAGACTTGCAGTGGTGTTGGGCTGGTCGTACGTGCCAGCCATGTGTGTTTCAATTAAAATTCCCTGGAAGAATCGAGCAGGGAATTTGAGTTATTCTTTCCTCGTGGTCTCCGTCAGACCTGGAGAAGGTTTCATGCCAGATGGTGGTGGGAATATTTGACCACCGAGTCGCTTGGAGATCAAACTCCTTTCTGATATGCGATTGTTGTTGCTTAAATTGTTGTTCTGCAAGTGCTTGTACATTTCTACTGGAGGGAGAGATGATATGTTTGGCCAGGGATCACGTAATCATGTCTTATTGAACCATACATTATTAATATAACAATATGGAAGGTCCTGATCCCCAGTTGTGGACATGCATGCATATTTAAATCGCTATTTGAAGCAATAGCAACAACAAACGATTATCTTGGTGCAAAAAAACGAACCGGGCTGCCCTTCGTCAACGTGGATGCCTCCCCATCACAAACCTCCGCACCCCCTCACCTCCTCGGGTCGCAGCCACCAATCCCCACAGATGATCGCGATCGGAGGTCAGTGGCTGGATAGCAGCCACGCAATGACTGGCTAACAGGTCGCAACCGGGTACCCGATACCCGTACCCTACCCGATACCCGGCTACCCGTACCCGGCCGGGTACGGGTAGCCGTTTGCGACCCTGGTGCGGCCGGGTACGGGTACGGGTAGGCCGTGAGTCACTGGTGAGTAACCGTTTGTCACTCATTCCGGTAGGGTACGGGTAAGGAATCAAAACCCTTTTGCGACCTCTGCTGGCTACCCCCACCAGCGATTGGATGCATTGTCACGATTCAGGGATTTGACTTTCATTTAAGATTAGATTATTTTTTTTGTTTCGTTTTTGCCAACCTGTTTGTGTTCCGATTCGGTCTCCGTTTGTACAGTTCTGTATGCTTCATTCATTTGCTACTACTTAGAATAATAATTTGAATGTTAGGAATTACTTTACGAAAATAAAGTAAATGATTTCACGACCGCTGTATTTGAGAGCTGTGGATCTCTGCTGTTGTGAGCTGCGTCGTAACACAAGACCATGTCGATGATTTTTACAATTCGGTGTCAATATCGACTTAATGAAGACCCCCTAGGAGTATCGAGAGAAACATATCAAGCCGCGCTGTGCTCCTGCCTTGTTGTTCATCTCATATTCAGTCAAAATCTTTGAATAATCACCAATACATTATTTTGTTTTTTAATTAATGTGTATTTTGATGTTCAACAGATATTTTTTTTATTTTCCAGAATAGCTGCGATATGTCTCAAGATTTATTCTGCACAGGCATATTTAGTTAAACTTTTTGTAAAAAGTGTGCTTTGAATGTGTGAGGGAACTGGAGCACATAGAGCAACCCCAAGCACGTGAGGAGGTACAAGTGGAAGGTCCACGGATTGGGTTTCAAGCCCACAGGCTGTAGTGCCATCTCCTGGTCAATTTGCAGCCTCCTGGAATTAGAAGTCTCATAACTCCGTGGTGCAGCAACAAACCCTTGCCTCTAAATGGCTGATATTACAGACAGTGCCCTTGTTTATCATTTGTAATATTCATTTCTAATCACAAAATATATTCGAGTGGGTGAAAGAGAAAAAACCACATAACGAAATGAAAAAAAATTAATGACTAGATTTGAGAAGCGCTTATTAAAATCTGACAAAGGAACTTCATAATGTGGAACCTGAGCGCACACACCACTTATTAATCTAATTGTATAGCCTGGGATGAGTGATGAATATGGAGCTAATCGCAGACAGGTTCTACACACATTCAGACCCCATGTGACATTTGACCCTGCATCCTGCGCTCTCTCGAATGCCTCTCGATGTCAAACTGCGCTGCTAGTAAGGTGGCTTGGGGAGCACAGAGGAGCGTGACCCATGTCATGGTGTTGAGCCAACACCCCTGAGAGGATGGGTTCAAGCCATGGGTCATCTCTCTGGCTAATGGGCTCCTCATGTGTGGCGAGTCGCTGGTGTCAGTGGAGTCGTCGACGACTCGTCACCATCATCATTGAAATGTACGATACGCAGTCCATCCTAGGATTCCAATGCGCATTGCATGAAAAGCAGGAAACAAAAACAGAAGCAGGCGCAACCGATCAAAGTGGACAGGGAAGGCCACTTAAAAGAGATGGGTTTTCAAAGCAGACTTGAATCTATCTACCGACTCCGAATGCCCTGATTTCAAGTGGCAAGGCGTTCCATAGTTGGGGTGCCACGCTAACAAAAGCCCGGTCACCAAAAGAGCTCAACCGAGACCTGGGAGTGCTGAGTAGTTGGAGATGAGAAGATCTTAAGAACCTTGATGGGATATATAAATGTATTAGTTCCTGCAAGTAACGTGGGGTGAGCCCTTTTAAAGCCTTAGGTCAATAGCAGTATCTTAAAATCCACTCGGAATTTGACTGGTAGCCAATGAAGAGATAAGAGGGCTGGTGTAATAGAACATCACACACCGTTTCATCGTGGAATCAAGGGCCTGTGATTGTGCGTGACTTGTGCCTGTCCCTGTTGGGAGGGGCACTGCGAACGGCATCGTGAATGCTGTCGTCACCACGGCGGAAGAGTCTCGTGGATGAAAAAAAAGAGTTCAGAAGTAGACCCCTCCTCTCACAAACAAACAAACTCAGCATATGGTGAATGTTATGTAAGATGAATAGCCATTGCCCCAAATGTTGTCTATTATACACATTTTTGTTCTCTTGTAAGATAATGCCATTGATTAAAGTGAGTTTAAATATGTTATTATTATTTGTTCTTGTGCACCACTGTCAAGGCAGTACCACCAAATAATTCGTTTTAAAATCAAACCACAGTCACGCTCAAAAATAGACTGTTACACGACAGCGCCATTTCTTGCTGCCATCTCCAGAGAGCATCAAGAGTGACGCGTGCGATCAGACCACCAAAGTGTGCCTCGCCTCTGGAGCTGAGCAGAGATGGAACGGGGGCCTGGCTGGTGCTTGGGTGGGTCGCCACAATATGGCCTGGCCGGTGTTGGAGGCTCAGGGCTGCGAGGTGGCTCAGGGCTGCTCCAGGTTTGGCGAGATGCCTCCTCGCACCTGTGCGGACTTCGTCTGCTTGCTCCGGTTTCCTCACTCGTGGCATTTGGCCAAACGTCCCAATGGCAGGACCTCCTGAAAGAAGAACATTTTTTGAGAAGCTTGTTGTTTTACTGTGCAAAACAATTGGCACAATTGTTGGATTTAGCGGTCAGCAGTAAACAACAGACAATCCATCACACACCGAGACAATGTTGTGAATTAATTGCCTGTAATTGAACGTTGGGGAAAACTACACTGGCATTCCGAGGTCTCGTCTTGTGTATGATACACGACATTCTGCTGCTGCCTCTGCAACATTTGGGGAAACGCCCGACGGACGTGGCATGACCAGGCAGCTGCTGCCTGGTCATATTATTCATAATAAAGGTTTTATGGGTTAGATCGCGTCTCTCCGTCACGAATGCAGCACTGCTCCGCTCAGCTGCTGTGACTATCGCTGCGCTGTCCGGAGCTGTATGCAACATCGCGGTCAGCCCGCCACTGATGCTGTCAGTGAAGCTAATGCAATAAAAACATTTAATCGGCAAATGGATGCCAATTTTTGCTATTGAATTATCATTAAATGAAGAAACGTCCTTCAGGAAAACCTTCAGTCAACAGGCAAGGGACCATCGTGGAAGATAACGCAGCTGAATTATTTCTCGTGTCTTCTCGATAGGGCTAATTCCATCACCAGCCACACACACACCGTGTACACGATGCTCACGGCGTGTGCGCAATGTCCACCTGCAGTGGCAGCTGCTGGTCAGCAGGCGGCGCCGTGTCACTGTCTCGTGTCCCTCTTCCCGTCTCACAGTCCCAGGATGCATCTGTCCACGCTTCAAGCCTTGTACACAGCCGTACATCGTGTTCATCTTTGGGTATATGTTTAAGCACTCAGATGTGTGCTGTACTGAATTAAGTGAAAATCACAACCTATACAGCTTGATGTGTTTTTTTATGCAATGCATGTTACGCTTGAGCTATGCATGTGCGTTGAACTTCTTTCGCACCGTACGTAGCCAACCGTGCATATCGGAGGTGTCTAATCACTGGTGGCTACTTAGGGGCCGTCCACCTAGGAGGGGGGGGGGGGTCTGACAATTGTGACGATGTGTGACGAGGGGGAGGGGGGTGAGAAATGTGACGTCACATCAAAATGCGCAACTTTAAATAAATATAGGCAACACGTTCTACTTAATGAAATTTACTTTATAAATGTTTTCTCCTACAACATTAGAGTGCAGCGCCACATTAAATACGCACTACAATGACAATACTGAAGCAATTTGAAGCATGTTTCATTTTTTTGAGGGGGGGGGGCAGAGCTTTGTGACGTCATATTTGAGGGGGGGTCTGACTTTTTTTGACGCCGCGTGACGAAGGGAGGGGGGGTCAAAAATCGTCCAAAATCGCGTGACGTCATTTATGGACGGCCCTTTAGATCGCCGTGCCAGGCTAGGAGAAGCGTCTGAAGCAAGAATCGTCTGAACCAGCGTGGCGTCGTTGACACCCAGGCTGGAGTCGCCCGTGTCCCCGCGTGCCTCGCCGTGTCCCAGCCGCGGAGATCCCCGCCGCGTCCCGGCCGTGGGAGTGAGACACCTCCTGCCACCTGGACAGCCGCTCCGGGCTTCTGGTCACGAGGGCGCTCACGCCGCCTGTGCCCTGCCCGGGTCGTGCTCGGCGCCAAGAGCTGCGCGTGGTGCTCGGGCCGCGTGGCCACGGGGCGCGCGTGGGGCGCCTTCGACCAGAGGCGTAGCTAGGGGGGGGCAGGGGGGTACATATGTCCCCGGGCGCCAGGGTAAAGGGGCGCCAAAATGAGGCTTACAACGTCACATTATAACTTATTGCGGCGGGCGCGGCAGCCTGAAACTACTGCACAAATCTACACCTCAACCTAAAAGTTTATATATCCCGCCACACACAGCCTACATGTCATGTAATTACATTTTGGTATGTGATTAATCGGGGGGGGGCGCAAAATATCCTAGCTACGCCACTGCCTTCGACGCCGATTCCAGCGGATGGAGCGGAGCGAGTTGGCACTCTCGCCACGCTGCCGTGGCCCAGCCAAACGCCGCTGCTTTGTGGACACTGGGGCCTTAGCATTTAATGGGCTTTCCGGAAACTTCAGCTGCTAATTGTCCACTTATTCCCTCCCGGGGGACGGGCTCTTGAAGAATTGGGCTCTGCGCGTCTGGGATTCTAACGACTGAAGCCGCTCCCCTTCCAATGTGCCGTTGAGTGAACTTCACCAAAATAAAATGAAGCAAACCTCTTTTGTTGTTGTTGTTCCAGATATAGCTTCAAGATCGCTTTCTCCAGTGCACGAGGGAGCTCTAGCTGATAATTCTGCAACTCGGGTGCATGTGCTGCCCGTGCTCTACACGTGGCTGTGTTTCTTTGTGACGCGTGCATCTTTGTGTAGGAGTATTTGTTGATGGTTAAATCGGCGTGTGCGTGTGCGCGCGCGCACATTTATTGTAAGTGTGTATTTAAAGTTGTGATTAGTTAAATACTCATCTGTCACTTGAGTGGCTCTATTTGAGTAAATGAGGTATAATTATGGAACGTTGGGGTTGTCATTAGCGAATGCACAGCTTGCTGCTCGCCACAAATGAACATCCAACACGGTTGTGTTTACTGAACCAGGCAGTGCATTACAGCTTCCAGGCGCGTGGCATATGCAGGAGGTCGTGGGTTCGATCCCTGACGACGCCTGCTGCTGCTGTGTATGTGGAGTTTGCGTGTCCCTCTCCCGTGGTCGCGTGGGCTTCTCTCTCCGGGTCCTCTGCTTTTCCCCCTCCGCGCTCGGAGTCAAGGTCACGCGTTTTTAACGCATTTGGCTGCGATGCATTTTACAAGCGACAAGCCACTTCGTTGCGCTATCGGTTTTAGTCAGGACGCTTCTGATAAAGAGCTACATAGCTCAGTGGGCCTTGTTTTTTGTGAAATGGAAAGTTTAGTTGAATGTAAGCTTTGCGAGGATCTCATTCAAGGAAGAGACTGTGTACTCCTATAGCAACAAAAAACTGAAAAATCACAACTCTTCATCATGAACCGGTGGTGGAAATTCCACGTTCCTGGGGCAGGAGTGAGTATGGAGTGTTGTTGTTTTTAACACGTAGGCTTTCGCGACCAGTATTATTCATAATAAAGGTGTTTGGGTTAGATCGCGTTGTTTCTAAATGTGTCGCAACCCTCCACTACCCGACACGACCACTTCAGTAAAAAAAGTGTCACGTTGACAAAAGACAAAATAGTTCACTACTTTAGCCCACCGGTGTGTTGAAGAGTGAATCCACAACATTTACAATCTGAGTAGTCGGGTGGTGGAGGGTTGCGACACATTTATAAATAACGCGATCTAACCCAAAAACCTTCGAGTTGTTTTCGTGTGTGCACCTCTGCCAACGCAGCTGCAACATCACCAAATACTTTTTCATATATAAATTTAGGGTGATCCAAATCTCATCTTTTTCAGTTATGAAATTAATCCCATTTCATAAAGAAATACTACACAATTATGAACAATGTTGGAATCAAGCATGAAAGACCACGCCTGTAAACTGTAGTAGGCATCACATTTATTGACTAATACAGAACACACAACTCCACTATACTGAGGTCAAAACCATTACACAATGCACTGTACACAATACTATACGGTTTAAACACATAAAGAAAATGGTTCCGTAAAATACATCTCTATTATTTACTGCACTGTATGGTCAAATCAGCCACATCGTACGTGCCTTAAGCCTGTGTGCATGCGGCACAATGTAGCAACGTAGCATTCTTCCACCCATCAAATCCCGACGTTTGCTCATAGGCGTCTCTGTACAAAGCGGAGACGTATTTCTTCCGTGGCGCAATCCCTGCGGTGACCGCCTCTCAAAGGATGTCACTCATCTGTGCAGGTGAGAGCCTCCCTCTAAGATCCTGGCTTCTAAGCCCCCCCCCAACACCCCTGAGTCCTCTCACCATCCCCCGTGGCAGAGCTACATCGGGTTGAGGGCATTGGCCATGCTTAGTGGTTATTGTTTTCCCTTTGCGTGTGGTCATGAGGACTGCAAAATCAGTTTGCTTCATATGTTGGCAATGGTTGGCTGCTCACAGCTCAGACACTGCATTCGAGTGAAGAAGAAAATTCACTTAGCGAAGATTGTTGAGCTAGCAGGGGATACAGGGTGACAATAATTTAGAGTACGTTTGAAACTGTCTTAAAATGGGAGGTTGTCCCAATGAATAGATCAATAAAGGAATGGGGATCAGTGATATGCTCCGTGGAACCAGTCACTGCCAGTGTGATCACACCAACCATGATCATAACGTTGTGCATGAGTTGTAATTTCTGCCGAAGCAGAAGATGTTGAGTGCAAACTCCCGTGTGGCCTCAGTGCTTGCAGCTGGCTTAGGGATGCCAAATCCACGATTAATTTAATGGAAGAGCTGAATTATACAAACTTTAAAGTTGGCTGCAAAAATTGTTTTTATTAATTCTTCTCACAACAGCCTTCGATCTGTGCGAGAATAGAGACACTTTTTTATTTACTTATTTGAAAGTTAACTTTAAGGGTCAGGACTTTTTAGGCCCCAGTGTTGGTTTAAAATGGAGGCGTTTAGTGCCATCGAGCAAATGAGAAATGCAACGCGTTTACTTGAATCCCTCACAAATCACACCAACCGGCAAATTTAAATCCTCAAACTTTTAAAACGTTAAGGTGTCCTCCTAAAATAGTTTGTCTTTGTCACTTTTGGCTGAATGTGGAAATCGACAATACTATAAATGTCTCCCCCATCTACCACCATAAGCATTTTAGTGTGAGCCTGTGCGTGAGAGCGTGAAACTTGCTTTGGCAAGAATGACACTTATCGACCCCTTCCCCTGCGAAGCCTTCCTTTAATTAGAGGTTCACTTCCAACCTCCTAGGACCTCCTTGCACATTGTTTTCTTAAGGTGGTTGAAGGCTTCACGGTGTGTGCTCGACCCCACCCCGAAACCCTCGGACGATTGAGTCCCTAGACAAACATGTGGATATAATTAAATGCCATTCTCTGTCACGCCCTGAGGTTAACACGTTCTGACTTTAAATAAATATACAGGTGGAAACAAAGCAGACGCTTAGCACAAGTTACATCACATGCAGTGATCCCACAGTTTACAATGCGCTATACACTTTAGGGTACACACATCGTGTCTAGAATCCTGCGAAGGTCATGAGAAACTCAAGCAATTTTAGGGGAATTGTTACGAGCCATAGTAGCTGCCAAAATATATGCAACCTCCATTGCTGCTCCTGATTGTGGCCAATTGGGTTGGTAACTTCCAATGTCGATCACCGACAGAGGCCACGTGATCACCCCAGGTTGTGTCCCTGTACGGACCAGCCATTGTTCATCAAACACACGTTTCAATAAACGTTGTTTCCATCGGCTCTACTAATCTCCGACGCTCTATGCCACTGCTGTAACAAGTTTGCCAGCCTCAATCGCTGGTCCTCACCTGCCGAGTGGCAGACACGCGAGGTGCCATGTGGCGGCTGTCAGGCTGATGATCACCGAGCCCGCACGAGTTCACATTCCAAGGAGGCCTTCAGGACCCTTCTCCCACAAGGGGCTGCTATTTATGAATACTGCTATGCGGTGTCTCCGTGCATCACCACAGCACTGGGCAAAGAGCAAGGGTGACATTGTCCTCAGAGGTGCAGAACCTTTCTCAGAAATTCTCAAAACGCGTGCCCTCACCTTTGCGTGTATACCACATATACACATGCATATATATATATAAAACACGTTCTCTATGTGCTTACATGTTTGTACGTGTGTTTATATAGCGTACTATACAGGCAGGATTGGTAACGGAAATGAGAGTGAGATATCCGTGCTATCTAGCGCTCGACTTGACAGTCCACTTGTGGTGACGCTGCCTCATCTGTTTCACGATCCGTACGGATGGATAATCGCAAAGATGTTAATGGTGGCTAAACTATCAAACAAAATACTGTAAACTGTACAATAACACGCCTGAAACTGCATTTTAAACATGTGGACTAGTGAATGTTTTAAGGAAATCTATTACCTAATAATAGCTTTGTCAGTGTTATTTAATTATTTACGTCATTATTAACCATATAATATATCCTTGACATTGGAAACGTAAAAACTCTGCTGTGCCACGTCTCGGCCTCGGCGACTGGCGAACGTAACGCGGCCGTTTCACGCTCAAGGGCCTCATCGGCGAGCCACAGCTTTACCAACTTAAGCAACAACTCAAAATGGGATGTCGTTGGGACGATCCAACGACAAGAACATAGGGAGCGACCCAACGTTTTGTTTGAAATTAGTCTGGCACATTCGCGTGCACATTCTGTATTGTAAATGACCTGAATGATTGAAAATGTTTACTCCGGAGTAAAATTGCATATTGCCAACGAAGTAGAATGTGGAATTGGTGAAGTATTTTATCGATGATTTGACATCGTGTTAAGTGCGCGCCAGGGGTTCTCATCGGTAACTCGCGGCGTCGATCGCGTCACCAACCGCGGCTCGCTGATGAGTGCTAAGAGTGCCGAACCGATTGCACAATTGGCAATGGAAAATACTGTGATCTTAAAGGTATTTCGGTTAAAAAACCTTAAAATCGTCCAAGAAATGCGTTGCTAATCACTGGATATATAGCACGGTATATAGAGTATAGATAACGACTTCATCGTAATATACCGCCCGTACGTTGGAATGACCACTCTAAAGACCTCATACTCTATGTACACGCGTGGGGAGATAAGATTGCAAGGCTGACACTGTCCACACCGTGGCAGTAGATGGCGAGGTGATTGGGGCCTCTTGGCCTCGGGGTTGAAAGTGGCGGTCGTAGCCAAGAGGGCCCCTCGCCCACCGTGGCTCCAGGGAAGGTGGCTCACAGGCTCGCGAGGTCCGGGTAACGAGTGAATGGACGGGGGAGCGGGCTCCCATCGACGCTAAGTAGTAGTAACGCCACGGAACAACTTTTGCGGAGACATCGGCAACGGATGGGACATGATCACCCCGAGAGTCGAGGACTCCTGGCCAAAAATTTCGTGGACACCAGCTGCGTCCGTAAGGGGGCTGGATGGGAATAAGATGGCATTGTTCATGTTACTCAGCCTAGGGCTATGGAACACTTTTGCCCGTTGATATGATCAGCTCCATAGTAATCCTATATCAGGGCAACGAGTATAGAATCTGTAACTGAAATGTGCAGAAAAGGTGTCAGTTTTGTTGCCAGATAGAAGGGTAAAGAACCAATTATCATATTTTTACTGGCAAATGAGGTCCCCATAGTGAAATGTGCAGCCTAAAGACAAAGATAGCTCTGACCCTGTGGGTAGGAGGGCCCGGTTCACGCAGCCCCTGTGTTGTTAGTTTGGTGCTGCTGGCGACAGTTCAACGCGTGTGGATCATTCGTCGCAAGGACGGACGCCTCCGAAAGCAGCAGCAGCAGCAGCTCGAGACGAGCGACCGATGAGAGAATCCCCAATAAAGACGTCGTCAACGCAGCCCGGGATGCCTTTGATCACCGCCTCCTGAAGTTTAGAAATAGCGGCCTGTTTACCCCTTTCCTATTACACGTGCGATCAGTTTAAATATACTATCGCTTTGAAGCTGGCAAATCTTCAGAAATTTACCGCTGAGTGCTGTCGGCCGCCTGTCTGTGAACCGTGCTTCACACGCAACCAGTTGCTTCACAATCGATGCTCGTCCGCACGTTGCAAGAATTTACATCTGCAATCCGATTCCACAGGTCAAAGGTTGATTTGTTTTTAATTAGCATTTTAAATTTGCGATCATAAATCACATCCCCCCCCCTTCCCACCCCCCCAAAAAAGGCCTTCGCTTCACGTCCCCATTCTCGGCATCGCATTGCTTGCTGTGTGGTTTTTTGTAAGTTGTAGCGGAAATTCTGGGACCTGGCCATCAAACACGGGGGGGGGGGGGGGGGGGGGGGGGGACTCGGCACTGCGTGACCACGATGGGAGGAAGATGGACACACCAGAGGGGAACACGTGGTGGTGGTGGTGGCGGTGGTGGTGGTGCAAGATATGGACGGCACCGCATCACGTGGCGCTTTTGGATAAGCTTCTGTGTTGCCGTCTAGAACGCTCTTCCTTCCGCTATTAGGAAGCCACTGAGAGCTATGGCACTTGTAAAGAAGCATCGAGATTGACAAACTAATTTATTTAGTTTAAGGTGTAGGCTTTCGCGACCAATATCCATAATAAGGTTTTTTTGGGTTAGATCGCGTAACCCCCCCCCAAAAAACTGTTATGGATAATTTCTTTAGAACTTCTTTTTTGTGTTTAGTTTGTTGTCCTTCCTCCGCACCTCCGATTAGTACGGTTGTCCACGTATGGTGCGAAAGAAGTTAAACACATACAAGACAATGTGTCACATCGTGAAATAGCAGTGATCATCGATGGGGTCTGTGTTCGCGACGCTGCACTTTAACAGGTCCCCCCACTGCGTAACGGACAATAAACATGCCAAGTCCCAGTTGCTGTGATCTGCTTCAATATTAGTTTTGATTCACATTGTTTCATTAAAACGAGGTATGTGTTTGATATACGTGAATGAAGGTCAAAGCCGGCGATAGTTTTAGGGGCCTACAATTAGCTAGGCATGTAAGGGTTAAATTTTATTTAATAAGGTTAATTGTGCGTCAGGCTTAAGCAGGGGGAGAAAGCAAAGGTTGTTGCTAAGGTTTAGAGGTACAGTCTGCCCAATTAATATTGGATTTATTTACATTCATAAGCAGTGATAGTTTATCAGCATGGTGATGTATTGGCTACAGAAATCACAAACCCATAGTCGACTGTGCATTAATGCTTTAGGATACACAATCACATTACACCGAATAACACGTAACATTTTACACACGCTGCTCGTAACCGCGTCAATACAATTCTCAGATTAACACGCAGGCTTTCGCGACCAATATCATCCATAATAAAGGTTTTTTGGCTTGGATCGCGTAAATATAAATGTGTCGTTAACCCGCCACCACCCGACACAGCCAATTACTGTCGTAAGGTTTGTCACGTAAACAGAACGTGCCAGTTCGTTACTAGTACAGCGTTGGAGAGCAAATCCACAACATTTACAACACACCGGTGTGCTGTACAAGTGTAGTGTAATAGCGCCGGTTGGTGGACAGACAGCGCACACACCGGTGAGGGCGTGCGCGGTGTGTGGGTAGAGGGAGGAACTGGGGCAAGGGTCACGTGGGACCCCGTCTGGAGGCCCCTGGAACCGGTTGGCGGGTTTGAGAAGGGAGGCTCGGTCAGGGCGGGGCCAGGCCGCGCTGGGAGCATAAAAGGAGCAGAGAGCGGGGGGCTCGAGGCTGCCGGTTCTGGGAGTGGACTCGTCTCGTCGTCGCCGTCTTCGCTAAACGTCTCCACTGGATGTTGCGCTACGAATGAGAGTACTTGGCTATATCAGTCAGCTCAGTCAGTGTTAGATGGCCGGTGTTGTAGACGGGACCGTGGAATTTGTTCATAAAGATGCCTCCTATAAACTCTGCCTCTGAATCGTTAACACTACACTAGTAAAGAATTGGCATGTTCTGTTTACGTGACAAACCTTACTAATGGGTTGTGTCGGGTGGCGGCGGGTTAACGCCACATTTAGTATGTAAGGGATGTCAGGGGAAGGATTCCCACCAAAAGGAGGGGAGTGGGACGGTGACAGGGGAAGGGGGAGGAGCAAGCGAGGAGATATAAGAGAGAGAATGGGCGGGAAGAGGGGAGATCTTGGCGGGAACGAGATTGAGAAGACTGGGGACGAGTGTGGACTGAAGGATGGAATAAAAGACGAACCCCCTGCAACTTTGTGTCGGCTCTCCTTTACAAGTATATTTACGCGATTTAAACCAACACTCCCCCCCCCCCCCCCCCCTATATTATGAACAATTCTCAGAATTAAGCTGCATGAGTTTCTGCCCCGATGGCAGACGAATGACCACACAGGATGAACGTCTTTGAAGGCCGGGTCCCTGCAGCGACACTTTTCACTGGAGGCAGGGAACGACCCCGGCACATAACTTTGTAAAGTAATAGACAGCTCCTGTGATAACCTCTATAAGGGTCGGCCTATGTGTATCAGGACCATATCCACGACCACAAATATGAACACTGTCCTCATTTTATAATAATACAAATTTAACGACCATAACTTTTATTTATATATATATCCTGGTCATATCTGTCAAAAAACACAATTAACAAGAAATCATCTCAAGGCTAAGTGAGACCACAGCAGTAAATACGGTGAACATACTGTACGCGCAACAGTACTGTACACACACTGTACACGCCGCACATACTGTACATTGGCGTACTGTACGCACAGCATGTACTGTGCACGTACTGTACACACTGTACACGTGGCGTACTGTACACGCAACGCGTTGTTGTAAAGTGCGAAATCTGAAACTGAAAAACATTTACAGGACGATGATGATATTAACATCTTAAAAGTTGTGGATATGAAACTGACATATAAAAATGCTGCATTTTAAGTACAACTGAAATTGAAAAAATATATAAATCTGAACTCTGTGAGAGGGTAGTGAATATGAAAACGTAATTTAATTTAAAACTAGAAAAACAGTTTAAAGTTACGAGTGAATTAAATCATTAAAACCTTAATTTTAATTCTATAATTATTATTTTTTACAATTAATTTCAGCTCTGCCATTAAAACGCCTTAATCTTGGAATCCAATAACTTTGTAGTGACAGATGAAATATTTACATTTAATATTTAATTAAATATTTAATTGACCGTGCTGTGCAAGGATTGAATTTGACTCTACCCAGCACTTATATGCATTTGGCGATGGGTCATAATCAGAAAAGGGTAAAAATCCGACAGAACCGTTTGACCATTACGTAAAGAATGAGTTAAGCAACTCCTAAGGGCTTTTGGCAGAACATAACAAGGCATACCAGAATACAACAAATTGTTTGCCTTTGTTGGAAACGTCCACAATCTGATATTTTAGCGTAATAACCATTTGAAAATAATACAAATGTATTCATGCGTATTATTTTTCTGTAGTCACACGAGAGCTCGTTGTGCTAATACAAATCATGGGTAGTAGCTAGCTACAGTAAATGCTGTCTTTTACTACTTAGACCCCAGGCACCAGTGTCCTGTAATACACAACTCTGCAAGTGTCTGCCACATCAAGTCATCACGATTAGCTGCTTGACCCATCATCATCTGGATACAAGAAGCCTGGCACCAGTCGTTAACGGCCTCCAAAATCTTCAGGAGCAAAACTCAGCAGGAGCAGGCAATGCGTATCCAGCCACACGCCGTGACACAACCAGCACGGCTGCCATCCCTGAACTCTAACCCACTGTTTGCGCGGCACCTGCATGTTAAACATTCACGCATGCATCAATTCCATTGCACTAGCGACACAGAGGCATTGGAGGTAACCTATGACCTCGTATTATTCTCATCAAGAAGCCAGTCAATCAGGTGTGCAGACTTTGGTGGAAACGTGACCACCCAATGGCTCCCGTAGCTGCGTTCTCCAACCCTTGCTGTGTGAGAATTGTTACGGTGAAGTCTACATTTTCCAAAGTTATGCGTGTGCTATGACCGAGATGCGCCGGCGATGAATCAAGACTACAAAGTTTGAGGAAGGGTGGGCATCACTGATGAGGATTTAAGTTTCCAAGTTCCGCATCTGACAGGAAGTCCACAGCTCCTGATCTCTCAGCTGCTGCTTTTAATCCTGACCTCTGACCTGCTTGTAGTCTCCTACTGATCATAAAACCGATACAGTTCCTCAAACTTTGTTTCTGGTGATGACTTAATTCTGATTGATTTAACTCGACATGAGCCTTCAGTGTGGGCCTCTCAATGATGAACCCCCTTTTAAAGTGAGTATCCAGTGACTGGTTTATAGCCACCAATTCGAAAAAAAACGCGTTCTCACGGCTTTGGAAACTGCACGGCTAAAGTTGTACGGTGAAAACTATCGGAACGCGTATGTTTTTCCATGCCAATATTCCGATTCATAATTGACATCGAGGCGGTGGCGACGCGCACGATCCGGGCCGTGTTCTTGCGGCGAAGCCCTCCTCGGCCAAATGTCACCGGCACGCGGTCGGCACGAGCGTCGAACGCGCCGACACCGTTAGAGCGTCAGCTCGCCGGTAGAGGTTGCAAAGCGATGTTTAAATTGCCACATTTCGCAAAACGATCAATTGTGCATCCACGGAAATGACTGCATCCCGTGTTTTTGTGTTTCTTTACAAAAATAAAGAGTGCGACACATGCCAAAGAAATATAAACTCTTACAACAACAGTGTGACTGACGACAAATCCAATGTGGGGTCCCCCTCCCTCCCCCCCCCAATGGCCTCCCTCTACGGCCACAGCTGTGGCCGTAGAGGCCTTCCTCCTCGTGCCCAGCTCCATCTCCTCCTCGGACGCTCCTTGCTGTCCCCCACACAGCAGCCTCTGTGAAAGCAGTCGTTAACTTATTCCCTTTCGAATTAATGGGTTTAGCAGCCTCTGAAAGAGTGTGGGAGCAATGACCCAAATGTGCCTCTCACACGAATGTCCACAACACCCGTAATTCTTGCCGTGTCGGCTCATCGTCGTCGTTGTCGTCACTGAATGTGCTTGTTGTTGTTGTATTTGTTGTTGTGTTTGTTGTTGCGTTCACTGTTGCCGTCGCTTGTATAGCGCTTGATTTTCTTCAGGTTGGTTGCTGTTATGTTGTCGTTTGTTCAGCTGTTGTCGCGGTTGGGTGGGTTGCACTCTGCGGGGATGTGGGTTCGAGGCACGTAGGGATACGTCGAATTGTGAAATTCAAATGACCTCTAAGGCTCATGATACCTCCGTGAAATCGTGCTTCGATGCAAGAATTATACGTCCATGCTACATTCATGCTAATGGAACAGATGAGGCAGACAGAACATATTAGACCATACGAACGAGACTGAACGAGCAAAATAGACAATAAACACAAAATTATCACAACAGCATCACGTAATTGCACAGTAAAATAAAGACAGCACGATCCAAAACAGTACTCATGAGAGAGGGCAATGCAAATGAGAGAACAAAATGTGACAGCACAAATGAGATGGAGCACACAGGACAGGACACCCGTGAGCACAAGACAGGAAATACAAAACGAGACGGAAGAAAGAAGAATACATTCTTGAATGGCAGCACGATGCCGAATTTTGGACAGCTCCTCAAATAACCGCGGAGGCGAATGGCCACACGGCCAGCGATTGACTCTCGAGTGCCGTTCATCGCAAACATAACGCAAGGCGCCAGAATGGTCACCGCTCCGTGCAGGACCTCAACACGGGGGGGGGGGGGGGTTCTCCGTATGCAGCGCCGCCATCCAGCGGAGACCCACCAACGCCAACCTCAAAGCAGGCGGACGGCATTTGATAGAAACCGATGCTACGAATTTAAATACAGTGTAAAATGTCTGGCGTATGCCAGGAGCGACGTACACCGTGCACGCCGGTCGGAGTTTGGATTGAACAATCCACAGCTCTCTGGACGTCTCCACGCGTTTCTCCGCACGTCGGCTGCTCTCACAATCACCTGCAGAGCACCCTGCTGAAGCGTGCGTCTGCTTTGGCCGAGTCGGAAGCTGGCTGATACCGAACTCGCCTCTGTGGGACACGCGGCACAGACTCTCGGGGCGATGACGCAGCCCGGCGGTAGCGCGCATGCCACCTCGTGCAGAGCTTCGCGATTCGAATCTGGCAGGCAGCCCTGGTTTTTGCTGCGGGTGTATTAGCCATGACAAACACGTTGCCCTCTGCTTCACAGTAGACATTAAAGATCCCCTTACATCATTCGGAATGACTAGGCCATTGCGTTCCGGTGTCGTGGTTCACATTTGCTCAAAATCAAAAGATTGACCACCATTACTCCATGAAGATTACAGATATCAACGTAGATATCAACGTTGATATCAGCAATTACAGATATCAACTTTGCCCCCCACTGGTAATCCACTGCTGACTATGTGATTGCCTCGTGCTATGAGAACGGCGCGAATACCAAACTTGGACGAAACGATAGGAGCCTTTACATCGAGGGGTGATTGATGTTTGGACTGAACATCTTGAGCCGGAGATCATAGGACTTGACATTGTAGGACTGACGAGTGTTGGCCCTGGGTTCATGAGTGGGAACCTAGGACTGGGGAGCTCTGGAGCGAAGAGGCTGGAGACACATGCATTCATCATGAGAGCAGCAGCATTTTCTTGAATGAATGGTGAATTTAAAACATTTTGTCAGAAAAAACAAAAACGGATCCAGGATTGTGAGAGTCTAAGGCGCGTACAAGCGTTGCTGTACAGGATCTGTGCAAATGACGAGGCAGTTGCGTCGCCTTGTGAAATGTTGCGTCAGTGACTGGATATTTTTGATGAGAACAATACGTTGCTTGAGTGCTTGGCTAATCCATCACAAAGAATTTGAACATTTGCCAATTGGCAATCTTTTTTGCCAGCTCTCGACCATAACTACAGATTGAATGAAAAACCTGTTCCTGTTTCGGTTCCATTTTCTCTGTCAAGATGACCCTTACAGCCAGTGAAAAAGCAGCTTACTGAACCTTTAGGCTCTTGGTACTTCTGCTACGGTCTCCGAGTAATGGAAAATGTGGGTCCACTGCATTTCGATCAATAAACAATCTTGTTTTTTTTTTAAGTTCGTTGCACACTTGAACGATTAAATAAGTGTTTGACCGAGCAGCGTGGCGGCGAGCGTAGCGCACGCTCGTCGCGCGCCGGCCCTGCCGCCGTCTCACTGGGGCATGTACCCGGCCTCCGTGACGAGTTGGGGGAAGTACGCCTGCACCCTCTCGTCCGCGCTCCCCACGCTCGCCTCGTCCTGCTCTTGCCCACCGCCGCAGCCGCCGCCGCTCTTGCCTCCCAGCTTGGACCTCCCGCAGCAGCGGCACTCCCCGTCCGTGACGCACGGCCCGTGCGGCTTCCCAACGAACGAGCGCAGCAGCACGGAGGCGTCCGTGAAGCCGCCGCCGCCGCCGCTGTTGCCGCCGCCGTCGTCGTCGTCGTCGCCGTCGTTACCGTCGTCGTCTCCCGCGGCGTCGAGCGAACGCGACGCGACCCCCCCGTCGCCGCCCACGCGCTCGCCGCGCTCCTCCCGCCCCGAGCGGCCGGGGCAGCCCTGCTGCTGGCGGCGGTCGCGGTAGGAGACCTGCGAGTATGGCTCGGCGTGGGCGCCGTGCGGGGCCGGCAGGAGGCACGGCTCCTCGCCGTTGGAGCACGACCACGTGTGGGCGCGCGGGCACGCGGCGCCCGGCGCCGGGAAGGGGCGCCCGCCCTCGTCCAGGCGCTGGTGCGAGCGCGAGCGCGGGGCCGCGCTCTCGCCCTCCTCTTCCTCCTCCTCCTCTTCCCCCGAGCCGTCCCTTGGGCCCTCGCGCCGTCGCGACGACGGCGGCGGCGGCGGCAGCAGCGCGTTCACGTTGGCCACGCTGGTGGCGTTGCTGCTGCAGCACGTGTCGGACTCGTCGCTCGTGTGGCGGTCGGGCGAGGACGGGCGGCTGCTGCCGATGCCGCTGGTCTCCCCGCCGAGCGAGCGCGTGTCCGCGCCGGTCGGCGCGCCGGTCACTCCGCCGCCCTTGCAGCTGCCGCGGAGCAGCTGAGGAGACTCGGACTCCACCACCTCCACGGACGACACCACCGTCTCCAGGTCGCTCGCCGACGACTGGCGGTGGCCACCCTGCGACTGCTGGTAAAGGCGGATGTCAGGGTCATGGGGTCAGTCGGCTGGAGCCAGCGACGTTGCTGAATATTGAGAGAAGTTGCCTCTTTGGCCGTTGTCGATTAGAGTGTAACACACGTCACACTGCGGCCTTGCTCTCATTATCTGTAGATTTAAAATTTGAATTTTAAAGAATATTGAGTCCACGAAAATATTGTTTTCAAATTGAACATATTTGCACAAATTTATGTCAAGTAGAATTAACTTTATACGATTGGGAAGCCCCATCAGAGACACATTTTTACACACTGGATCAACACAAGGCAATTAATAGGCTGGATAACTCCAGTGCAAATGATATGGAGATCAAAAAACATATCCACTCTCTGCATATTTGCCAATTAAAATTTCCTAACTGGCCAATCAATGCATAAAATACCGCAAATGGTAAATTATGTTCTACAGGTGTAAGCAATAGATTGTTATAGTTACCTGCTGTTGCATGAGGTCTCTGAGCACGCGAGATTTCCTGAAGTCTGGGTAGTAAAGGTGTTCCTTGATCCTGTGGGGAGACAACGCAGCCTCAGTCAATGCCTTTACAGAAATGCAGAATGAGTAAGTCACGGCTAACGCCTTCTTCTCAAATTCACATTCCACAACTCGCTTTCGGCTCGCTCGACCAGAAGGTCGCGAGGTCAAATCCATGTTGGGGGTTGCCTCAGCCCATCAACCGTCCACGGCCGATGAAAGGAGTAACCACTTTACCATCTCAACCGACCGGCAGCCTTACCATGCCAAGCCGGCGCCACCCAAGCACATGGCCTGCTTCTAATTGGCCGTGTGGCTCACTTTGCTGAAGGAAGTTAATCGTTTTGAGCCGGGCTGTGCTCTAAACGAGTCGTCGTCAGAGAATGGTCAGTGGTGTTGCTCTCTTAGGTCAACTTCACGGTTATATTTTGGTAATAAATAAAACATGGGGTACGATTACGAATGTAGGTTTAGCTTGGGTTGGTGTTACCTAACCCACGCGTACGTTCAATCTCGTAAAATTAATTTCGATCACTTCCCCCCGGAATCTAAAGGAAGGGAGGAATGGACAGCAAGGAGTGGGGCATGCCGAGCCCGTGGAGCTGTGTGCTTCTTGAAGCACGGGGACAAGAAACGAGATGAGCCAAGTACGGCTCAGATCTGAGCTCTAAATGTTGTGGGGAATGTATGAAGTGTGTGTGTGTGTGGGACACGAGGTGGCTGACGCTTCTAATCCAGCATTGTGGAGGGGAGGGTTGGTGAATCACACAAATGCTGTGAAATTCTCTTCCAATGAGAGTCGAGGTGCCATACCCTGGCTCGCCAGGAAAAGGGGATACCGGAAGTGGACTAATCACCATCGGATTCCATCTGTACGGGGATAGAGCGTTGCCCCCTCGCGCAAGGCGTGGCGTTTCTCTGGGTACTGTGGTTTACTCCCACGTGTATAATAATACACACGACTCATCACTCATTTGCTGAAATCATTTAAAAATAAAACCCCAATGCAGGACCCTCATTAAGAAGAGTCCTACGACTCAGTTTAGTTTTCCTAAATCAATAATTATTTGTTACATAAACAAGTTAACAAAGCGTACAGCTCGGCCTCTGCTGCGAGAGCCATGTTGTTGTTACTTCACAAGAGGCCGACAGAGGGCAGCACAACCGGCGTTTGCTTCAGAGCCGTTCTTGTTGTAATTTACTGTTGTAATTTACTGCCCTGGGTTGGATCCCAGGTGGACTCACAATTGACAAAAAAAATTATATCAAATGCGAAGACAAAAGTGCAGTGTAGATAAGCGGGTTGGTAAGAATATGAACTTGAAATATGATCAGCCTGAAACCTATTAAAAGTGCGTTGAGAGTTTTTGTCTGCTATAAATTTCCACGTGATAAGACACTTCGTTTAGCTAACATTTGTGGCCAGGTAGCTTCTGAAAAAAGAGCTAAATAGCTCAGTGGGCCTCAACCGATAAAATAAAATGAAAAGTTTAAATAGTTTCAGTGCCTTTACGTGAGCCCCCACCAAGAGTGATGGCAACGTCGTACGGGAACGGGATGCCTCCGGTAAAATCGGCCAACCAGCGGAAGCCATTCCCTTGTGAGTGAGTGACACGTTTGGTTGCACGGGCCGAGGCCCGTGCCATCGAATTATAGCTGCTGTGCTCTCGGGGATTTGAGCCAAGAGCGACACTTATCAGAGTGTGGGACCTTGCAGAGGAGCTTCGGTAGCCACGGCAGCGTCAGCAGCAACAAAGTTGTCACTTGTGTCTCAATAAAAGGCACGTACTTTCCACACTCCTAATCTTCACCAACCGTCCGCTATTTGTTAACGAAATCCCAAACCATAACCACCCAACTTAGGACCAACGTTCCTTGTTTACCGTTTTTTCCTGGATTTTTCTGTTGCGTGTAGTCACTTTAAGATGTTTCTTGTTCGTGTTTTTGTTTGTTGTGGTTGCCCCCGAGTCAAGAGCCGCATGGCTCACAGGGCTATACCTCATAAATGAAACTGAAAAACTAAAAAGTACTGGCCAGACCCATACTTTACCAACTCTCTTATCCGCCAGATTGCCGAACCAACTCGCCGAGCAGCCACGAACACGACCTCCCACTGACCCTGCCCCTACCCCCACATCCTTTGCCTGGACAGGGCCCCCCATTCGACGTTTGCCGTTGTGGGTCACGGCGTTGGGGCATCTCGTGCTGGGGGGGGTACCAGTTCCTGCAGCGCGTGCACAGGCACGCGGTGGAGAGCGCCAGCAGCAGCACGGCCACGCACACCACAGTCACCATGGCCACCACCTTCCAGTCATCTGGTGAGATGAGGGAGAGGAGGGAGAGTTCGGGGAGAGGGGGGGGAGAGGGTCGTGAGATCCACGGGAGATGGACGAGAGGTGCCGTGGCTTGGAGGTGTCTCCCCGTCCCCACGGGCGCTGCTGCTGCTGCTGCTGCTGCTCTGGACTCTGGCAGGTTCCGTTACTCAAGTTCCACCTGACTGCCACACACGCACACATGTCGCTTAGCAAACGCAATTGCATAGCAGCAGATTGACCCAACGGAGGGAAAAAACCCTAAAGCTTAAATACCAAGAGACATTTACGGATGTGAAGGTTGTTGACAACACTCATGACACGACAGTGGAGACCGCTCTCAGCCGTGTTTGAACAAGGCACGGAAGAAGGACGCTGTGGGGATATTTCCTCCATAAACGGAACGATTGGAAGACTCCGCCAAACTGCGAATGCGGCGAGGTGCAAACCACGATGGTACATCACCGACGACTGCCCAATACGCCACGTGTCCTTCTGGTGGAACACGCGGATTCCGCTCAGCTTCCCCGGGTGCCATGGAACGACTTTTACAAAATAAACAAGACAGTTGCGGCCCCGTTGCTTTCTTTTCCAAACGCGATACGAAAGAAGAATTATAAAATAGGATAGACATTTTTTTTAAACGGTGTCAATATTATCGTGGATATCAATGTCCCATGGCTTTGTAATTCCGTTTTACAATTGTATCGTTTTTATGACAACTGTCACAATGGACGGACATCGCGGGCGTGCCGCCATCGTGCAGGCACGACGCAGCGAGCCGGCCCGCACCATCGCCGGGTAATTCCATCCGCAGACTGTCGCTGTCGTTAAGTGCACTAACCACCCCCGCTATATATGGCTAATGGTCATAAATTACCGGTCCCGGAGAGATGAGACACTTATAAGTGCTGTCTAGGGGAATATTGGTCCCAAAATAAAGTGTCTGCACGGGGGATGTCCAGTCGATGCAGCGAGAGGCAGTGAAAAGTGTCATCACCACCAGCAACACCCGATATGTGCAAGCCAAGCTATTTGCGAGCTCCCCCACCAGCCTCCCTCCCTCTCGATCCCTCATCCCTCTCTGTGTCTCTCCATCTCTCTCCAGCCTTCTCCATTCTGCTCCTCCTAGCATGCATCTCATAGTCACTCCTTGCCCCAGTCTCTCACTTTCCCCTCTGTATTCTTTGTTTTTTTCGGTAAAGTCACGTAGGTAAAAAATAAAGTAAATGAAAACAACTAAATTAAATCATAATAGTACCTACGTGACTTTACCGGAAAAAAACAAAGAGTATGAATCCTTGCAGTCACGAAAGCTTCAAATCTAGAAATTCCCCTCCGTCTTTGTCACAATTAGTCTCTAGCTATCTCGGTTTCTATTGTTCACGTCTCTGTGTTTCTATTGTTCACGTCTCTGTGTTTCTATTGTTCACGTCTCTGTGTTTCTATTGTTCACGTCTCTGCGTTTCGATTGTTCATGTCTCTGTGTTTCTATTGTTCCTGTCTCTGTCTCTATTGTTCACGTCTCTGTGCTTCTATTGTTCACGTCTCTGTGTTTCTATTGTTCACGTCTCCGTTTTCTATTGTTCATGTCTCTGTGTTTCTATTGTTCACGTCTCTGTGTTTCTATTGTTGATGTGCTCTCCCCCACCCGGACATTTCAGACCTTGGAAATGTTTAATATTATCCGTAAAAAAGAAAACGTTGAATGTTGTTTGTTATTATTTAAGTCGGGCAGTTTTTAAAACGTTTGACATATCAGGACCGAGGGTGCTTTACTTTCAGAACCATCCACGGTTGTTTTAAGGCCGAGTCGATCTAGGGGAAGCCCAGGACCGGTTCGGATATCCTTCAACAATGTTGGCTGTGAGCAAGAATCAAACTCGGGTGGTTGGGTTCGTAGCGGAGTGCAGCGCTAACCACGGCACGACCGCTTCCCACAATATACAGAGACACAGACACGCTGACAACGGGCAGCGACACGCGACGCACGCGCTGCCAGTGAGGCACCCTCGTGTGTCAGGACGCGCTCCGGGTTCTCCAGACAACAGAAGCCACTAAATATAGATGGGAGCCCCGTGCGGGTTCATTCGGACGATTCCCTTGCGACGCTCCGCTTACAGGAAGGACGTGAGCTCAGTGACCTTCGCTTTCCGGCTTTGACATTTAAGGAATTACACACGGCCGGGAATGGGCGGAGAGGCACCAGCTCCAAAAGGGGATTCAGCAATCTGCGCTCGTCGGAAGGTGTTTCGGTTGTTTAAGTAAAAAGCACAGATTGCAAGTCTCGTAACAAAACCAGCAAAAAAAAGTAGTGCAATTTTGAGTGGGAGGATTAAACTCGTTCTGCAATAGCGGCGTCGTTCGGTCGGTGTCACCGGTGCCGATTGTCGAAACGTCCGCCTCGTGTCGGGGCCACGCAACGCATCTGCTCCGGATCCCAGCAATTCAACAAAGCACTCACGGATGATCCAGTGACGACCGCTGCCCCTGCCTTTAGCTCAGGGCGAGTTGGTTGAGTTGCTTCGTTTTGGGGATTTGTGTCCTAGAATGAACACTGGCCCCAGTAGAACCGATTTTGACTTCAAACCTGCTTGAACTCGTTTTACTCTGCTAGCTTGATGATGATCATGATGGAGGCGAGTCGCCCTCAGCCAGGATATAAACTCACAATCTCACTGATCTATCGAATGATCTACACTCCAGCTGGGGTATAATCATTAACATGTACGTGGTGTTGATGATTGACTCTGTGTTTTTAAAATCGATCCGCCGAACTGCAAAGTCCCTTCGCCAATGCGAACTGCACTCTTGAGGAGAGGACTCTTCAGAACTCACAAAGGCAAACTGAAGTATTACAATTCATCGCCTGCGCTCAAAACTAACTCGCCCGTTTTACGCCACGGGGTTTTAACCTCCGACTCTGCTCCGACAAGCCTCCTAGATCCGCACGCAGCTCAGGAATGTCTGAGCCATGACTCACACTGGTTGGAACATGCGTGTAATCACGCGAGCACGCGTGTCTCAGTTCCGCTGTACTTCGTCGCAGTTGCCCGCCTGCCGCGGGATGGAACGCGTGCCACGCTCTGCTCGTGACGCGGCGGCAAGTGTCACAGGCACACTAAAGATAGCTACAACGAGCACGGGTAGTTGGGGATTTCCCAGCACAGGAAGCTCTCTGTGTCCACGTTATTTCTTTCAAAGGAAAGCGAAGGAGAGAAGAAGGTGCAGTAGTGTACATGGAAAACTTTTGCTGTGATCAGTGAGCGGCAGAAAAGTCTGCAGGATCATGGGCATTACATCTGCCACACACTCCAGGCACGCAGGGTAATACGCTGCGTAGCGTGATGCACGATCCATCGCACCGGGAGACGTGGAGACCTCTGGTCTGATGCGGTGTCACGCGCCCCCACACCGTGGTGACGATGCCTGGACAGGACCGGTCTCCCAGTCCTTTCCCTGTATCCTGACCCCGTTTATATTCTAGTCGTGCGATGTGCATCGTGCCACGAGACGGGGCAATTTCCATTCACAGCTCTCTGAGATCCAGCTGTGGACAGAGAATGACCATGGGAAATTCTATCACAGAACTAAGTTGAAGTGTCTTCCATCCCGATGGCTAATGTAAACTATTTGTGAAGGGCTATGTATACTCTGATATGTAAACATTGCCCAAAGATCACCCTTGTGGACTGTACATGGGAACTGCATTTTGTTCCCTGAGTGCTCTCGTCCATTCAGTCACTCCAAGCCAGAGTCGTTCTATTTCCCTATACACAATATTACATCTGACTGTGTGGGATGTAAAAAAACACCCCTGCTTGTGAAAGATTGAATCGCAAATGATAAAAGCCTGAAATGTATCGAGCAACACTGCAATCGTTTGATTTATTCCTAAATTCGTTTGCTCTTCTGGCTTTTGATGAGGTTTACTTTGTTTTCCAGGGAAAATCTTGATGAAGAAATAACAACAGGAGAGTGAGTGTGCCTACTGGGTCCAGTATCTTAGACAAAAACACAACCAGTCACCCGTGACGGAGCCTCACGGCGGAACACGCATTACTTCCCCTCGAGCCGCATGCATCGAAAATGTGGAAGTGAAAGTGCGTGTGATTTGTCAACTGCTCTCTATATAAATACATAAATAGCCGTGCCCTGCTTCACAGAAAAAAAGTAGAGTTTGGCACTTGAGGCGTTCGCGTTTATTTGTATTTGACAGTGCAAGCCTTTTGCGGATTCTTTATTTTTTTAAAGTTCAACTCCTCCGCTCGTTCCGGGCTATTTTAGATTCAGCAGAAAATAACGCTGAGTCCACCTCTTGTCGTGTCGCTCGCCGGCGGAGCGTGGCAGGGAGCGGCCGCAGAGCCGCAGGGGGCCCCACGGCTCCACGGAATTACTCGGCGGAGCGGATTCAGTCCACTCACCTGCTGGCCACTCACCCACAACTCGACACGGCTGTCCGTGCGCCGCTGCACATCACAGGTTCCGTTTACTTGTCAACTTATAGAGGTGTGAAGAGAGGGGTGAGGAGAGAGGTGAGGAGAGGGGTGAGGAGAGGGGTGAAGAGAGGGGTGAGGAGAGAGGTGAGAAGAGAGATGAGGAGAGGGGTGAGGAGAGAGGTGAGGAGAGGTGTCGAGAGGGGCGTGAAGAGAGTGGTGAGGAGGGAGAGGCGCTCCCCGTTACCCAGGTGCTTGGTTTTGAAGGAGATTGAGGAGCCGTCGGGTCCCTCCCCGCCAGCCGTGCGAGCCCTCGCCCACACCGTGTACACGCTGCTGCTGCGGAGGTGGGGCAGCACGACGCTCAACTGCGACGCGTCCACCTCCACCGCTGCACACGCACGCACACACACACACCGCACGCACACACACACCGCACACACACACCACACGCACGCACACACCGCACGCACACACACACCACACGCACGTACGTACACACCGTACGCACACACACATCGCACGCATGCACACACACACACCGCACGCACACACACACACCACACGCATGCACACACACCGCACGCACACACACACATCGTACGCACACACACACAAACACACCGCACGCACGCACACACACACCTCACGCACGCACACACACCGCACGCACGCACACACACCGCACGTACGCACACACCCCGCAGGCACGCACACACACCGCAGGCACGCACACACACCGCACGCACGCACACACACCGCACGCACGCACACACACCGCACGAACGCACGCACACACGCACACCGCACGCACACACGCACACCGCACGCACGCACACACACACCGCACAAACAAACACACACCGCACGCACACCCACACACACCGCACACACACACACCGCACGCACACACAGTATGCACACACACCGCAAGCACACACAAACAATTAATTTTCAGTCACATCCACTCCCGCACCTACGCAACAAAGTTAAGCGCACATGTGTACATATGTACACACATATGTACACACGTGTACACATGTGTGTACACATGTACAAGATGTTTTCTGAATTATGAAACCAGGCACATCTGTCATGGGGAATGGATGAGTAAATCTGCACTGTTCAAATGGGAACTCCCGTCCCACGTATTCCCTGAATTCGCGAGCCACACAACGCTCCCTGTGGACAGCCCCACGCATCGGCACCAACCAAACACCGAGACTGGGGCCGAGTGCATGGGCGCGAGACCACGTGCGCCCGTGGCGTGTCAGGGTGCGCATAGCCAGGGAGTTCGTCGGCAGTGTCACAAATGACAAGGGGCTTGCAATCGCCATGATTCACAATGCGGTGGCTTTTAACTCGATCTGGTAGGATTAGTTAATTAAGCCGATTAATCAAATACACATTGCTCATCGACTGCTTTTATCCCGGGTCGATTTCTCACGCCCCCTGAAAATGTTGGCCACCCTGACATCCTGCCCAGTGAAGGCAGGAACTCCCGACGAACCATGCCCCGGACACGCGGCTGATGATGATGGTGAGGCCAAGCCCTGCCCATCACCGCACATCCAGTGGCACACGTGGAAACAGATGCCAGACTTTTTCCCCCCAACTATTTTCATGCTATGCGATTAGTCAAGTAATGGAACCGATAATTGGTAGGGTATCCGATTAATTTCATGCATCAGGGCGCCAGCTCAACTTTCAACACGATTGGTTGCCATGCCAGGGATCAACTCACTTAGCTTTAAAAGTGATATAAGTTAATGACGATATTAATTACAAATTTAAATCAATCTATTGCTGGATGAAGGCCTCCCAACGCCATTGTTGGTCATGGGGGCTGCTTATTCTTAGGTTTTTTCGGTAAAGTCACGTAGGTAAAAATTTAAAATTAATGAAAGTAAAATAAAATCAAAATCACGACGTTTCGGAGGCAACCCAAGCTTCCGTCTTCAGCTTGTGTTGCCTTCGAAACGTCGTGATTTTTATTTTATTTTACTTTCATTAATTAAAATTTATTACCTACGTGACTTTACCGAAAAAACCTAAGAATATGAATCCTTGCAGTCACGAAAGCTTCAACTCTAGAATGGGGGCTACTGTTTGACCATCGGTCAGCGCAGGTTGGTGAAGAGTGGAGGGGGTAACCAGAACCAGTTCGGACATCACTCGCCATTGATGCCAGCCATGACCGGGATCTGAACTCGGGTTTGCCGCGTTCACAGCGCAGTGCGTGAACGACTGCGTCCGAGAGACACAACGCCGCACCCCGACGACGAATCCCAAAACACTAATTTGGGCCGGAAACCCCTGACGTGCGATGCATGTTTTCTGGAACAACTTTTACATCTGCTCTACATTTGCGGGATTATTTACGCGCCGCTGTGTAGGTGTTGTGCCAGGGCGCTGAGTCACCGATTTGTTAATGGAAAAAGAGGAAACGCGCCCAAGAGGGTCTTACAGACCTCATAGACGGAGCGATTAAATCATCTGGTGCGCAGGAGCCCAGCACGGATCGTAACTACGACCGCTGCAGTGACGCCGCCCGCGTGCTCGACGGCGACGGTGACCTACTCTTGTTGAGGTGCGAGGGGTCGCTGTAGTGGATGGTGTAGCCCTGGAGGACGCCGCGCCTATTCTCCAGAGGAATCTCCTTCCAGGAGAGCTGTGCGCTGCTGCCCTGCACCTCCTGCATCTCCAGCTCCGGACCCCGATCAGGAGCTGCCCATTCAAGTGCACACAGGCGCGTGCACGCGGCACAAATACAAAGATTCGCTGAGGAGCCTTCAGCAGACTGTTGGGGCAAGTGCTGTTAGGCAGCAGCTATGAAGGCCGGCGCAGCACACGAGGGGGTGAGTGGCCACCATCACGTTGGGCTGCCTTTGTCTCCTCAGTGCTGATGTTCACACATCGTACCAGGAACTCATTTAATCACTAATATACAAAGACAAAATCCCCTGTATAGCCATAACAGACTGTAGGGGCAAGTGCTGTTAGCGAGTAGCATCTATGAAGGCCGGCACGGCATACGAGGGGGTGGGTGGCCAGCACCTTGTCTCCCCACCACACGAGGTACTCATTTGAGGCTGAGTCGACTTAGGGGAGGCCCAGGACCGGTTCAGATAATCCTCACTGGTGTTGGCCGTGAGCAGGAATCGAACTCGGTTCGCCAGGTTTGTAGTGCGGCGCGCTGATCGCGACACAACCGCTCCCCACAATGTACAAAGACACACAGACCCACTCGCAATCACACGTGAAGACATACACACGGAGACACACGGACACACACGGACACACTCACGTACCCTCATCCTGACACGAGCCCTCACGCATCCGACTCGAGGGGACCCGTTTTTGTGGTGCGAGAGTATTTTGCCAGAAGTGTGAACATGTGGTCGCGTCCCAGGAGAGTCGAACGGACCGTGTGCTATGCCACAAATGTGCAGCACGCGCTCTCTGTGTGCCCGCCCCTGCCCTGGCTGTCCACACCGGGGGCGGTGTGAGTGGGTGCAGCACAGTCAGTCGACTGGCAGCTCCCACGTGGTGGGGCAAAGTGTGGGTCTGGGTGCTCCCAAAGCCTCCTCCAAGACGTCTGGCCGGTCTGAAAGAGGAGGCCAAAAACTCCCTCTGGAGGGGCTCCGTGGGGCTCCATATTACCAAGGCCCTTCCTGGAGCAGTGGCGCGACAGATACAATCACTGTACCCCCCCCCCTGTCTCTCTACTACAGGCTGCACCCCCCCCCCGTCTCTCTACAACAGGCTGCACCCCCCCCCCCCTGTCTCTCTACAACAGGCTGCGCAGGGCATAGAGAATTGGGGGGGGGGCTCGACTCACGGCATTCGCGGGCGAAGGCGATCGTCTTTGCGGGGAGCCCCTCCCCTCGGGCGTAGCGCGCGTGGACCGACACCGCGTAGCCCACGCAGGGCTCCAGGCTCCCTGTGGGGGTCAGAGGCCACAGGTCAGCGGGGGGATCCCCCCCTCCACGCCACGGGCTGTCGCGATGTGGCCGTGGGGAGCGACGTTTGGCTCCGGACGCAGCCAACTGCCGGGATCGCCGTCCAGCGGCTTCACGTTCGTCTCCTCGTGACTGCTCTCCGCTACAAAATAAAGATGATGCGCTGCCTCTCCTCGTGGGATCGCACGCCGGTGCGGTTAGCACCCTCGCACTACGTTGACGTTTTTCTAAGTTAAGTTGACCATGAAAGGGTTTTCAGAGGAATCTGTCAAAGCCAACTTTTGTTCCTGGAAAATATAAGGTAATGTGTCTTGCTGCTGCTGAAACGATTGAAGGATGACTTGTCACGGGGCAATGTGTGGGTTACCAGCCCACGTCGCCCATCTGCCCCGTCTGACCGTCAAGGGAGGAAGGAGGCTGAGTGTCCCAGGAAAGAGCAAAGTTCCGTGCCTGCAGTGATCCACAGGGGTTGCCCTCCTTCGTAGACAATGCACCGTACGCACGCTCACGCGCTCTTCTCGAGTCTTGGAAACTCCACCACCACCGTCATCGTAAATGGAGCTCGTTAGACCGAGAAGGAGGTGCCGGATTGAAACGGGGACCTTCTGTTTTAAGGACACCTCCCCATAAAAAAGTTGAGCTGGGTCAACAAGAACTCGTTGCAGTTTGTAATAATACAAGTTTGAGGGTCTCGGCGTTTATCAATGCAAAACAAACACATCAAGCAATGACGATCGCAGTCACACATAGCCAAGTTATTTGGGTAAAGAAAATTGTCCATATAACTTGATGAATAAAACCAGGTACTTCGTACGGTATTTGCCAAATATCCCAATGCAGGAACCTTTTGGAAAGTAGTCTTGAGACTTAATGATGCTCTCCCGAGTGCACGATCGTCATTATATGCAATCAATAACAATACCACGTTTTTATAAATTATTTTCTAAAATTATTGGATTGTGAGACTGGCCCGCATAAGCATCCCCGAAAACATTGACATTCACACTTGCAAATCAGAGATTGCGCCCGTCCAATGAGACGTTATCGAGACGAGAGAGGCAACGGACGACGCACAGATACAATAACAGTAGCGTTCCGTGGAGCCGACATGGCCATGCCGTGTCCTCCTCAATCAATTCCAGGAAACACAGGTGCATTGTTAAAATGTCGGAACGGCTCCCGATGCCTCACCCGTGATGTTGAAGGAGAGGCTGTTAGCTGGCAGCCGGGCCCAGCTGGTCAGGCTGGGTGTGAGCAACGGGCTCCACGTTGATGGCGCTGTCAGTGCTGCTGCTGCTGCCATCGAAGGCGAGGTTAACGAGGGCAGCGATGAAAGCGTCGGCGGCAACGCCGACGTAAGATCCGATGACGTGGATGACGACGTCGAGCGGCTCGTTTGACTCCACTCCACCAGGTAGCCCTTGACCACGTGATGGTGGCATGCTGGGGCTGCCCACGTGACGAGCAACGCCGGGCGTCCATCGGGTCCCGGCTGGCTGTGGGCGCTCAGCTGCAGTGGAGGCAACAACCCTGTCACACACAAAGACAAAGGTCCCCCGTGAAGCCTTAACAGATTGTTGGGGCAAGGGGGCGCCACGGTGGCGAGATGTTAACTACCTCGCCTGGCATGCAGGAGGTCGTGGGTTTGACCAAGACCCTGACGCCTGCTGCTGCCGCTGTGTATTTGGAGTTTGCGTGTCTCTCCCCGTGGTCGCGTGGATTTTTCTCTGGGTCCTCCGGTTTTTCTCTCCACATTTAGAAACATGTGTTTAGATAATTTGGCTGCTATAAATTATTTTTCAAATAATAAGCCACATTGTGGCCAGGTTTCTTCTGAAAACATAAACTAGATAGCTCAGTGGACCTTATCTGGTAACATAAAAATTGTTTATAGTAAAAATAGTTTTAAAAAGTGCTGTTAGCGAGCACCAATGAAGGCCGGCACGGCACACTATGGGGTGGGTGGTCAACACCATGCCCTTTGCCTCCCCAATGCTGTTATTTACACAATGCACCAGGTACTTCTTTTAAGGCTGAGTCGACCTACGGGAGGCCCAGAACCACTTCAGATATTCACCACTGTTATGGTTTTGTGTGCGGAATTCGAACTCGGGTTGCCGGGTTCACACACGCGCATACACAAGTGGGCGCCATGACGAGAATAGGGGTCATAGGTCACTGGAAGTGAATCATACTCGCCAACACTCCACGCTTAAAAACTGGAGTTTACATCGGAGTATAAAGACTGTCGTCCAGTTAGGAGCGCACTCAATCCAACTGTGGCGGTGGAATGGGCGCATTTCGTGTGGAATTGGCGGCACGTTAAATGCAAAGTGAATAACCTTGATAACCAATGGTAATTATCAAAACATGCCGACACTGAAACACCACTGCAGGGGAACCTAACACCTCACTATCCAAGCCGCGTGGTGTGTGATGGTTGCACAATCATAGCATGAATTGCCACTGGAACAGTTTCAGAGCCCTTCGGCTGCCCCGATGAGCCGCCCTAACCCTGAGCTGATTGGCTGCCGTCTATACGTTAATAGGTCAACCTGGAGAATGTGGCAGCACGTTAACCTTGCACCCCTGTGATGTCCCTTGAGATGGTGGTCAGCGGAAGTCAGTGGAGACAATCCCGTGGTTCTGTAGTCTACGCTGCCAGGTCTATGCTCCCTGCCTTCATCAACCAGCGTGGTGAAGTAGGGTCAAAACACCGCCGTGACCCACGCAGCACAGGGAGGGTATCGTCCAGCAGCGGATCAGTAAACAATAGCCGTGCGTGTACACGACGCTCATCACGTGGCCTGGCGTGACCCCATCGCTAAGTATCCCAGCGCCCGAATGAAACCGGCTAAGGCGTGACAGCAGCACCCTCCCGTACGCGCCCTGCCCGCACGATGCCGCACGGTGGTGTGGGAGCGCTCACCGGGGTGGCCGAGCGCCGGGACGCGGAGCTCCGCGGCGTCCGATCTCCCCGCCGAGTTGACGGCGCGGACGTTCACGTGGACGAACACGTTCGCTGGCACGGGCAGCGTCGCGCCGCGGCACCGCGCCTCCAGCTTCGTCTCCCGGTTCCCCGGTTGCAGCGACACGAGCCAGTGCAGCACGCGGCCGCGCGCCTGCTTCTCCGGGAAATCCTGCCACCGGGCACGCGACGTCCGGCGGTGGAGTTACGACGATGTGGCACGGAAGTCTCCGTCGCGAAATAACTTTCGAATCGTTATTTTTATTATTTTGGACACGGGGAAAGAAGCGGTGGCTCACCTTCCACAAGACGGTGAGGTCCCGCCACCCGCGGGCGTCGGGCTCGCCGAGTTCCCTCCACACGTTCGGCGCCCCTAGCGGGACTGGAGACGCGGAGATGCATGGGAGGCACTCGGTCAGACAACACGCCCCTGGGAAAGGTGGCACGGCTCCCCGTTGTGCGGCTACACGAGCTCCCCGTCTTCGCCAGCCTTCCCTTACCTGCGTGGTGCCGTAAGGGCCGGGTGCAAGTTCACGTCCTCACTAGGGCCCCCTGGACAAGTTTCACCCACGGCGTGAGCTCAAGTGCACCGTTAATCATCGCTTGTCGCGGTCTTGTGGCTAACTGCATAACCCCGACTCAGGTAATCAACTTTATTGCCTTGGTCAGCGTGTGGGATTTGCGGTCACAAGGCACACAGTGTGTGACACTGGCACATGCTTTTATCTCCCTACAACTGTCATATTTCTCTCTGGAGACACATGTCTCCTAAATCTCTCTTGTGAATGCATTTCTCGCCCCTTGATTTATAATGTTTGCAACCTGCGGATCTTGGCACGTTACGGTTCTATTAGGGGACACGTAACGATTTGCCGTGCTCGTTCCCAGATCATGACACCAGTCAAAGGACTAGAACGGTGATGCACATGTGGGTAAACAAAACAAAAACTCACTGACCAAGGGAAAATCCCACATCTCGTGTATCACCACAGTTGCTGGAGTGAGATGAAGAGAGAAGGCCCCATGCTCGCACATCGGGGGTCCAGAGCAAAACATATTTTTGGCGCCCCTCCCCCTTTCAAATGATGAACTCCTCGTGAGATGACATGCGAGATATCGACAAGGTGTATTGGGACGAGACAGAGAGAGATGTACTGCGATTGTCCGTCTGATGGGCACCCCATCATGAGGACGGGGCTGGTACCAGCTCGTGCGGGAATATCGGCGTGCACCTGCGTCAGGTGTCTGTCCGACCCGCTGCTGGCTCCAGGGGCTCCAGTATTCTCCTTCAGGTATCAGGCGGCAGCGCAGCTGGGCCCAGTAGAGGGAGCCGGGCGCCAGGTCGTACACAGTGTAGTGCGACGCGTTGTCCATCACGTCGTTCACCTGCCAACGACAGGCACGCTCCCGTCACGGCGCCAACGACGACCGTCCCAGCTCACCCCCGAGGGGCTCCACGCGAACGCGGCGGCACTCCGCGCCCCTCGCTCTGCCCCGTCCGACCATCCGCGTTTCTCTCGGCGGCGAGCAATTTAGGGCGCGAGTCCGCCGGGGTCGTCGGTACCGTGGTCCAGTGGCTGGTCCCTTGGTGTCGGTAGCGCAGTTGGCACTTGCTGTGGATCAAGGAGGGCTTTGTCCACTGCACCGTGAGCTGCGTGGGCTCGTCCCGCTCCGAAGTCAGTTGCACATCGCTCGGTGGAGGAAGGAGGACTGCAAGCGCACACACACACAGGCACACACACAGTCACACAGTCACACACACACACAGGCACACACACAGTCACACACACACAGGCACACACACAGTCACACACAGGCACACACACAGGTACACACACACACACAGGCACACACACAGTCACACACACACAGGCACACACACAGTCACACACACAGGCACACACACAGTCACACACAGGCACACACACAGGCACACACACACACACAGGCACACAGGCACACACACACCGGCACACACACACACCGGCACACACACACACAGGCACACGCGCACACACAGTCACACACACAGTCACACACACAGTCACACACAGGCACACACACAGGCACACACACAGGCACACAGGCACACACACAGGCACACACACACACACACACCGGCACACACACACACACACCGGCACACACACACACACAGGCACACACACACACACACCGGCACACACACACACACCGGCACACACACACACACACAGGCACACAGGCACACACACAGGCACACACACAGGCACACACACAGGCACACACACAGTCACACACAGGCACACACACAGGCACACACACAGGCACGCACACAGGCACACACACAGTCACACACAGGCACACACAGGCACACACACACACACAGGCACACACACACACACCGGCACACACACACACACAGGCACACGTGGGCACTTCGCGCGGGCTCTCGCTGCCACCGACGACTGCGCTGCTCATGTTAACGGCCGCGCTGGGCAAGGCTGCGATATTGAGCAACCATCGTGGTGGTTATAAGAACGTCGTGATTAGTACTTGATATAGCACCCTCGTATACGCCGGACATTCCCTGAGCGCTTTACATCGCATCTCAACTCCACACATAAGAAAGGGCACCCCCAGTGGCAGCTGCCCCTGTGCGACACAAGGTGACTTGACACCTGGTCTGAAAGTGGCCACTGGTTTGCCATTAGTGGGCGATGGTTGCTATGTGCGATCACAAATTGGGTCATTTGCAGGTATGTTTTTTAATTGGCAAAGCTTCATTACGAACGCGTGTTGGTGTCAAACGATTCCAAAATAAGGATCCCTCGTGAAGCCGGCACATGCTGGTGGGGGTAGCTGCCACGGTGTGATGGTTTACAGGCCCGACTTGCAATCCACACATCACAGGTTTGATTCCATTGAGGTTCCTCAGCAGAAATACATTTTGGGTTTGTCACGCGACAAGATGCGCAATTCACCTATGCTACAGTTGTGCACAGTAATCAAGGTAATAGAATAATTCAATATATTTTGATTGTTATAAGAATTATGAGCTGTTCATGTTCATCAGGATCTGGTTTTCGCTCTGATATTTGGCACACGCATATTTGTATGCGAATCAGAAGGCCCCTTGAGCTACATTGATTTGTTTTTCGCATGCCCAGGGCAACCCCCCCCCCCCCCCCCCCGTGAGGTGGGAGGAAACCCATGCGCACTCGAGCTGGTATAACACTTCAGCCGTGTCCGTGGGGCAACGCGGGAGGGGAGAGGGGCACAGGGCACGTACTCTTATTCTGGGGCTCGACTTGCAGGTGGTTGGATACAGCCGTGCCGTTGGCCGTCACCCACATCTCGTAAATGCAGTTCACCCCCACCACGAGGTGGGCTTTTCTGAGGTTGCAGACCACGCAGCCGTCCTTCTCGTCGCAGGCCATCCGCAGGTGCCTGTACTCGCAGCACGCCCCGTGCGAGAGGTCAAGGGTCAACGGGAAACGCACGCGGTTCGCTCGCACGTGGCATCGCGCAGATACACGAGATGTGACAGCAAAGATGATTGAGAGTAAAACCTCGGAGGTGACTACGTGAGCGATTCGCAGAATGTTGCGTTCACTTTAGATATGTGACCAGGCTCGAAGTACGTGCAATATGTCATTCATACTTCGCTTTTTGTTGTCAATTGTATCTTCCCACTTCTTTGTAAATGCGTGTCTTTTACTGAGATTTCTGCACTGCACGTGCTCTGTTCGCGCCTCTGCTCTTCTTTACGAAATTAGTTTTTGTCTCAATCGTTTCTCATCCGTGTCCCGTGAGCCAACGGGGATCGGTCAGTCGAATATATTAACATGTCCACCATGGGTACTCTCCACCATGGGTACTGTCCACCATGGGCAGTGTCCACCAAGGGCATCGTCCACCATGGGCAGGTTTTCTCAGGAGTAGGGGTGATGTTGCTCTGTGGAATCGAAACTGAGTCGTTTTCCAGCATTGGGAAGTTTGGCCGATACCGGTTACATTGTTTTATTTTCGCTCTGAGACGCGAACTCCACCTACACAGGTGGGAGGAGTCGCAGAGGAGACGGAGCAGTGCCCGTTGCTGGGAGCCAGCTGGAGGATCGTTAGGGCAGCGCTTGCTGCAGTGGAGGGACGTGGTCTGTGAGCGATCGCCTGGCTAAGGTGGCTAGTACTCGCCCACTGGGGGCCTGTACCTACCAGGGTGGGCCACCTGTGACATGTGGCCGGCCAGCCTGGGTGGCTCACGTGATCGACTTGTTGTTAGCGAAGTGCGAGAAGGCCTTCAGCTTGTGTAAAGCCACGGAAGCTCCTGATTATTTAGACGCAAACAGCTGCATCCTATCTCGCTGGAGGATGACTGAGTAATAACAATGATTGAGTAATAACAATGCTCACCCGATTGGTGGTGGGAGGGCATGCATTACCAGGTTAATTGGCACAGCTCCTGATGCGATATCAAGGGGCTCGAGAAGAAGTCTCCGCTCGGGGAGACGAAAGCACGAAGTCACGGCTGCATCCTGCTAGACGGAGACTCACGGGGCTCGCTGTGGTGATGTTCCGGTTGCGAGCCTCTGGGTTATCACTAAAAGTTGCATGTTTTAGGGTGAGCCTTACAGCACTAGGAAACGCCCTTTTATGCGAAGCTATGAGCAGAAATGATTTTTTGTGAGCCAACCCCTTTTAACATTGATACAACTTATCCCTGACATGAAGGACAAGAGGTGAGTAAGAAATACAGAGGTATGGCAGGGAGATGAAAGATTCGGACAGGACAGATGAGAAGAAACTTTCATGAATTCAGCACTGTGTTAATTATTGTGTCGAATGCTTACCACTGTTGTCGACAACCAAACTAACAGTGGTGGAGCACTCATTAAAGACCCCTGGCTTCGGAAATCTTGAACTGGTCATTGATGCACCCAGCATTATTTTTCTCCCGAATCTGGGGGTCCCTTAATCTGTTAGGTTCTTCCAAGGCCCCGTGCTCGTGTAGCCGGTGCGAGCTTGACTGCGATGACTCGCACGCATGATGGTGCACTCTGACAATTATAGTTACGGCTAGACCAGGGGTCGGCAACCAAAATAACAAGAAGAGCCATTTCTTTCCAATTCGGTACAAAATTCAGTATTTCAAGAGCCGCAATGCATCTGAGTACATACTGTACATACGTACATATCGTCAAGAAGCAGCCCGTAAAGAGCCGCATGCGGCTCCGGAGCCGTAGGTTGCCGACCCCTGGGCTAGACAGTTGTGGCTTTTATGTTTTATTGTTACAAGACGAAGCGATGGTGATCAGGAATTGTAACCCGGGCCCCCACATGCACAGCAGAGTAGGGGGCACGGACCCAATTTAGATTTGGGCTGACTCCTCACTGCCAGCTGCATTGTTACGTTAGCTCCAATAATATAAAGCTGTTACATTTATATTAACTGCGCCAATCGACTAACAGGAACTTTGTTATGTTAATTGACCGAGTTGGTGGTAATGAAGATATGCACGATTGACGATATTAAAGTGTATTTAAATATATAAAATACGTATAATAATTGGGTCTAGAATATGAACCCTGGCGCTCAATCCTTTAAACAGAGGAATCTAAGCGGTGTCGTGACGTGGAGGGTGCTTGTGATCACTATCGCAGGAAGAACACTTTGAAATAAAGTGTTCGCGTTTCACAAACCCGGGGTGCTCGACTCTTGTGGCGTCTCCCACTTCTCCGGAGGACAGAACACAACGCAGAGTGCCTACCCATCCTTTATTTGTATTGTTATTGTTGTTGTCTATACATTTGATCCGACACGTGCCCCTCGCAAGCACTGACGACTGGAGGAGAGGGGACAGGGCGGACCGACTCCGCGCGCCTGTCGAGTGCCGTGTTGGCGCCACTGCACGACGCGCGCTACTCACTGGTCGCCTTGCATGTCGTAGAAGCGGCTGTCTTCCCAGCTGGGGTCCACGTCGAGCGGAGGCGACGTCGTGTCGTTGTTCGGCAAGTCGTGCTCCCTGAACGTGGCCAGGGTCGGGAACGAGGCGCGGATCAACAGCGGCAGCGCGCTGCCAGGCGAGGCCGTGGTGGCGACGTGCGGGCTACGATGCGATCGAGGGGTTATTTTGTGGTATCGAGTGGTCTGTTTATAGATGTGCCGCCTCCCTCCACGCAAAGAATAGCGATATATTGCCACCAAACTCAAGAAACGTATTACGTTGTATTAGCTCTCAACTCTTTGAGATATGGGGCCATCGCGTGCAATCGGAGAAGAAAGGGGGCCGTTACACATCAGTGGGGCATCTATATATGGATCATCTATTGCATGGACAGCACATGCGCCTCCTGTGTGCAGAAATTGCACTTTACTCCCACGTTAAACCATCTCTCGTTTCAAGAGGTAACGACGAGAAGCAATATAACAAAATGTTTAAAGATGATGGTTTTCGGCAACGTGCTATTTGAATATATGCAACACGGCTGCCACCTGTTCAGAGGCCCCCCAGGATTTGTGTTTACATTTCACAAGTCTCTTGTGAGGACTCTCGACCAGAATGACCGGCCAGTCTCCTCCATTCTTCAACAAACCATCACACACGAGGCCAGAACACTCACACACTCACCACACTCCCACTCCAGGCCACAACAACCACTCACCCACTCGCCATGCTCTAGGCCACAACATTTCTCTGCGTCCAACCTCACCCAGGCTCCACTTTTGAATTTCCTCCCAACGTCATGATCTCTCTATAAAAATTGGTTTTAGCCTTTCTATTTAAAGCTTTCGTGACTGCAGGGATTCATCTTCTTGGTTCTTTCGGTAAAGTCACGTAGAATGGAAATAATAAAATACTAAAAATAAAACATAATAAAATAATTCTCACGACGTTGCGGCAACAACGCAAGCAGCCATCCTCAGGTGAAGAACAGGTCTGTCGAGAAGACAGTCTCTGTCTCTGTCTTCTCGACAGACCTGTTCTTCACCTGAGGACGGCTGCCTGCGTCCGAAACGTCGTGAGAATTATTTTATTATGTTTTATTTTTATTATTTGATTATTTCCATTCTACGTGACTTTACCGAAAGAACCAAGAAGATTTAGCCTTTCTTGCAATAAAACAGGTGTCGATGGCATGATTCCTTGCAAAAGGTTTCCGTTTGGTGTTTGAACATCTGATTAACACCCGTGTTATTGCCAAAAAGGGTAAAAGCAAGGAAGGACCCATGTTATCATGATCTCTGTTCCCACGATCTTATAATGACCTTGCTCAATCCAAGAAATGTGTTACACTATGCTCCACAACTGGTGTACGCGTTACGTACGCATTTAACTTCATTTGCACAGTACGCAGCCAACCGTACTAATCAGAGGTACGATGTCAAAGGGGATGCGGAGGTCCTTGGATGTTTAAGGAACCCTTTTTTTAAAATATAAATGAGAGAGATCAAGTTTGATTGGTCACTGCGGTGGCTGTCACTTACGACCTCCAGTTCAGCTTGTAGGCGGTGGGTGCGGACGAGTCGAGCCCCGCGAACCAATGGCACATGAAGTCCTCGTTCGCACTGTAGAGCACGCACATCATGGGGCTCGGAGAGCCATCCGCCAGCAAGCACGGGGTCGAGGCTGTCATGGGGGGTGGGGTGGGGGGACATTCGGTTCTCGAAGAGGCTCCCGAGCACGTGGATAGAAACGTCGACGGACACCGTGCCGAACGATGCTCGATACAAAAACGGAGTCGGGGTGTCGACACATCGCGGTGGGTGACGCGCGTGGTGGCGCGGCTTGATGCGGGTGATGCGAGTGTGGTTTGTGGGTGCTCGCTGTAGGCACTTGCCCCAACAGTCTGTCAAGGCTATAAGGGCGATCTTTGTCTTTTGTGCGTAATAATGGAACACGAGCATGTCGCAATGTGTGTGTGTTGTTGTTGGTGGTGGTGTGTGGGTCATGTGACCCTGTGAACGGCATGCGCGGTGCCAGAGAGGACCACACAGCTGCCCTGGGGTCGAGTGAGTGCAGCTTCACATCAGCTCCACGCATCACGTGCTCTTGCAAATTATGATCGTGATCCTTGCAGGATGGCGCGTGTCCAGTAACAATCGTTGCCAGGGCGTGAACAATAACTCTGCGTGTGTTGATTTGTTTTGCTGTGCTTTCAAAACGCCTCCACGTTTTGTGGGCTAACAAACGTATTAAACGTATTCGACAGGAGCGCGTTTCTCACAAAACCCAACGCGTACGCAGGAGCCTACGTTCGCAAGAGAACGCGCGCTTTCATCTTATTCTTGTCGATGCTTGGACATCAGCAGGGCTACGTTACCGGCAGAGGTCGGTGCAGAAAACATACATTGTTGTACTGTACGTGTATGTTCTCACGTCTGTTCCCCGCCTTAACCAACGCGTACTGAAGCGTGGCGAATTAACCGCCATGTCCTGCACGGCATGGCGAGGCGCTTATCTGGCGACAGCGCAGTGGTGACGTTCTCTACGCGTTCGTGCTCGTCCTGCGAAGATGGCCCACGCAACCTACACGCACACAGAGCCACCTTTGCGGATCTTACCGTCGATGCTGTCCAGGACACTCTCCGGAGTCTGACCTGGAGGGTGTGGGGGCCGGGGGTGGGGGTGATGAGGTGGGGGGTGAGAAGGAAGAGTTTCGGGGTTAATGCTCTCCGAGTGCATTACTGCGACGCTGCGCTCGCCCGCGCGTGCTGACTCTTCCTGTCTCCCTAACGATCGCTTCATCTTAATGGGCTGAACTCTCCAGGGGGAGGCGAATATTGATTGGGTTTTTTTGTCTTTTGGGAGTTGTTGAAATTACCCAAGCTTTGCGGGTCTTTCGAATTAAGGGCAACTTCCATTAACATGAAATGGTTCAACTGCGGCGGCGTGCCTTGAAAATGCTTTGCGGATGCATACCACCGCTGCCATGCAGCATCTCAAGTGCAATCGTAAGTCTCAGTCTGCAGTCTTCCCCTCCACTCTCGCAATTCTCATTTACGATGAACTTCGTGTCTCTCTCTCTCTCATTTGAACTCATCCCATCATCTCCCAGATTGTGGAGGAGAAAACCAAGAGGCGTTTTGAGCGGGGAAGGGCTGCAGATCACGACGATGGTTGGGAAGTCCATCGGGTAAACCCACGCGGTGCAGATGAAACCCCGCCTGGCACTCCCCGGTACTTGCCCGTGTGTATCGTGCAGCAACGCTGGCTGGATTCTTAAATGCAACACTCATCTCTATCATAGGTTGCCACATTGTCTGTTGCTTGTAATTTTACTATGATCAATCTGAAAATAATCTGCCCGTGCCGACTGAAGTGAAAGGTAATATTTCATTTATCACTGATTTACGTTTGTGTAATATTCTTGATTTCCCCCATGAAATTCAATTGTTTTTGTGCTGATTTCAATTGCCGTTTTATTTGATTTGACGCAGGTCTCTTAAATTCTCACCTGGCTGAACAAATTAAACAAACCAAATGTACACCGGTGCCGCGAGTGCAGTGTGCGTGGTTCGCAAGGATGCGAGCCGAAATCCATGTCGGGGTCGACTCAGCCCTTCATCCTTCCCAGATCAATAAAATAAGTGCCTCCTTGTGGTGAATTCTACAAATGGTTGAATTTCCACGACTGCTATCAGGGTTGTAAACAGAATATGAACACTGCCTGCTTGCTTACATGAGCAGGAAGCCACTTTACATTTTTCAATTAAATGCACTCTACACAAAATAAGGACAAATGTGTGCGCTCCACACTTGCTGGGCTACGGGGAAGGCGTTGCATCAAATCCCACAGCTGGAAAGTACAAAGTCTGCTCCACCTGCATCAAGTTCACACCAATCCAAGGCCCCTCTCCATGTCCAGTGAAGTAATTGTCAGCGAGTGTGCGACACCAGCGCTCGCTATAACAGCGCTCGCCCCAACAGTCTGCTAAGGCGACACGGTGGGTGGGGGGTGTGTCTTCGTCTTTGTGCGAGTGTGACGAAACGCCACGTGACGTGTGTGACGCGACGCCGAGGGCACGTGCAGTCCCCCGCGGGACCCGCAGTGACCTCGACGCGACAGCGAAATCAAAACCGTGACTGAGGCTCTCGGCTCCGGAGCCCAAGCGGTGCAGCTTATTGGCTTCACAAGAAACTCGAAGTTCCTCTGATCCCCGTAGATAACCGGATTCGTGGGCAAGAAGGCAACGCAGAGGATTTAAAATAGTTTGTTGGTCAGAAATAGCAGCTGTGCTATCAGCGTCACGGATCTCTCGCAGTGCAGCCTCGCATTTTGGAGAACAGCCCACGGAATGCGCTTCTGAGGCCGTCTGGAACGCTCTTCCTCCCGATATTAGCAAGCCACTGGAGCTATGCACTTTACAATTTAGATTGAAAATTTATTTTTTAAAGCCGCTTGTGTTTAGTTGTCCTTCCCTCGCACCGGTTGACTGCGTACAGTGCAACATAATTTCAACATACAAGACAAAACTACGGTACCTCTGATATTGCTTCAAGTTACCCCTGAACCACATCGTATAGGGCAATGCTCTTTCACATGTGCTGCTACACGAAGTAATGTTTGCGGCCTGGCAAACCATGGAGAATCCACCGTGGGAATATTTATCCAATTAATTTATTATTCTAAGTTTGTGTGCCATTAACATCTTTAATTTACTGAAATTTCTCACTGAGTCTCAATACTCGTTTTAAGGAGGGTCTTGTACAGATGTTTGGCAAGTTCATTTTCAAGGCGTGGTTTCGTTTCATGTGGAAGTACATGTTTTTCTTTGATATATTTAAATACAAATTGCCTTTGGGTTATTACGCTTGTAAAGAACGGCATATTCTTTCAAATGTCACAGGGTCTTGTAATTTAGCAATTCCACAAAGGTGTCACTGTGTGGCTGTAGGAATTGACCCATGTTCTGCACGCACTATAACAGCGGGTGGATGTGCTACGGACTGCACCGTCGGATAAGATGCTCAGACCCCGATGTAGGATACATACACTACTGTATACATAGATACACACCACTCAAAGCCAGCACTTAAACATAACACAATCTCATCATATTAAGGACTGCCGTTTCAATCAATTAATTCTATTCAAATTGTTTTACGCAGCACCTCTTAAACGCGAAAACGTATCGCGTGGCGCTGCAATAAATTGCCAGGCTGATCGTGAATAACGTGGAATTTTACAGGTCGTCATCATCGGTGTGTGGGAGTTGGTAATCGTTGGACATGCGCGCAGGAATTGGGGTTCAGCAATTTGTGTATTCTCCGCCTTGCAAGCTGAAGTGGATTGTGCGGATGGTCCGATGATAGAAAAGTGTGAGATGATGGAGCGTTTCATTTAAGCAAACAAAAGTGACCCTGCGTGCAGAAGGTTTATTTACGACACAATTATATATGAGCTGCCCCAGAGATAGAGAGAGAAAGATGCCACACATGGAGAGAAATTCCTGGCATTAAGAGCCTGGGGACAAGTGGATTCAAAGCGTCAATACTTTAGCTCTCTGCGTGTCTAAGGGGAGCACACACACTATAGATGACTCTATACGAAGACAACTTTAGGACGGTCATCCGTCGTTTTATGGCAACTCAATGCACGAGTCGTAAACTAGGTACCGAATTCGATACACGTTAAATTAAACTCGCATTTACGGAATATTTAATCTTTAAATCATTTGTTTGGAAGGGAACAAATGCTCGGTCTGTCGGTAGTCGTAGCATGCGTGCCATGCTGCCCCCCCCCCCCATGGTTCGCGCTTTACCTCCTCTCCTGGTTGTCCCGCGACCTTCACCCTGCCGTGCCCCAAGCTCGGCTCGTGTGGCTCACACCACCTCGCCGCACCACCTCGCTGAACCACCACCACCACCTCGCTAAACTACCACCACCACCTCGCTGAACCACCACCACCATCACTTCGCTAAACTACCACCACCACCTCGCTGAACCACCACCACCACCACTTCGCTAAACTACCACCACCACCTCGCTGAACCACCACCACCACCACGCTAAACTACCACCACCACCTCGCTAAACCACCACTTCGCTGAACCACCACCACCACCACTTCGCTAAACTACCACCACCACCTCGCTGAACCACCACCACCACCACTTCGCTAAACTACCACCACCACCTCGCTGAACCACCACCACCACCACGCTAAACTACCACCACCACCTCACTAAACCACCACTTCGCTGAACCACCACCACCACCACTTCGCTAAACTACCACCACCACCACCACTTCGCTAAACTACCACCACCACCTCGCTGAACCACCACCAACTGACACAGCAATCACCAGTTTCTGGCCAGTGCCGTACAGTATTTTTAATTTCATGACCGAGTATTATTTTGAACAAGAGTATCGATTTTCCATTGAATATGTGCTTTAAAAAGGTTTGCTGCATTCAAAATGTGAATGTATTTCGTTTTTGGGCCGTATTTTTTAGTTTTTGTCTCCGTAGGAACGAATCTCCAATTGTACACGTCACGGACATCGACTGGGGAAAGCTCGGGTTCGATGGACGGAATTTCCCTTCACGGATTTTTCAGGAGCTTCACGCTTCCGCAAATGGAGGGATTCTTTCTTGTAAACCTGTGCTGCTATTAGGGTCGTACCCAAAAGCAAACTGGGCACATTGGTCAACAGGTTGCCCCAAAACTCAGAATAAAAAAAACAGTGCGAAGAGAACCCTTCCCCGAAACATGCAAACGCATTTTTGCTCTGACGGCTTCATCCAGCAGTGGATTGCCCACCTCTGATGATGATGATTACGATGGTGACGCCCTATAAACGCACAACAGTAAAAGGGGGACGCGCCCACGCCGTCTCCCCATTGGCTACGGGTGCGAGGAGCGCGGCCCGGCCGGTCAGCTGCTGCCCCACGTGGCCCGTGCCCGGGGGAAGCGTCAGCGGCTGGGATCGCGCTCCGTGCAATGGGATCAAGATTGGGGGAGAAAGCGTCGAGAGTTGTGCAACTCATTTGTCAAACACCGCGCGCGTTGCTGCTCATTGTCGGCCAAGGTTGTGCCCAGTGGGGTTCTCACCCGGTAGGGGTCTCACCCAGTGGGGGTCTCGCTGGGTGGGGGTCTTGCCCAGTGGGGGTCGTGTTTTGTGCAGTCGCGACATTGCCGTGACTTTGTCTAATGGGGGGTCAAACATTAACAGGATTCTTGGAAACATCAATTCGAAGAATCTGTCAAAACTTTGCGCGATTATATTACATATCACAGCATGTGCATATCACAATCCAGTTGGATAAGACTCTGCATTGCTGCATAAAAATGTAAATCTCATGGTAAGCATGATTGATCCTGGATAAAACTTGGATTTGCTTCCACGATGCATAATGTTTGTTTAAGGCTGCAGGCATCACGTGGTGTTCAGCAAAGGACATTCGAGAATTCTCGTGTGTGCCATGTTGTAGTTGTGTGTCTCCCCCCTTGGGCTGCCTCAGTTGCCCATGGAGCTGTCACTGTCATGCAGATGGGAGGTCACCACGTGGCATTTTGACAGTCTGCCGTTGTGCCCCTTGCTAGGGGCAGTGAGGTGTCCGTTTTTGAGTTTGCAGACACGACACGTGTTCCAGGATTACTCTTGTTTTTAAATCCCTTTCAAAATGCAATTAAATAACACCGCTAACATCGGCGCGTGCCCGTCGACTGATGCAATCTTGTCTAGGACTGGAATAATGGTAATCTAACGTGTTCCAAAAACTCGCCGGCCGTGAGTGGCTGCTGAACTGTGAAGGCTCTGGCCGGCGGGGCCATGCCGACGTCGCTGTTTGTCAAGGAGAGGCCTCACCAGCGGCACGGTGAGCGATGCGAGCACTCACCAGCGCCACGGTGAGCAGTGAGCAGCAGCAGCAGCAGCCCCAGCAGAGCGCTGCGTGCCATGGCGGTGCTGCCCCCAGCAGATGCTAGGCCTGGAACACAAAAGGTAATAGCCATGAGCTTAGCTGCAACATACAAACAGGGCGGCTCTATAGGTAAACAAGAACTCCAGAAAACTGCTACTTTAAAAAACCGACGAAAACTACTATGCGAACAGAGGTATCGTACTATTTAAACGTATGTACGTTTAACTTATTTCGCAACCTATGTAGCCAACTGCTCTAATCGGAGGTGTCGGAGGTGCGGGGGATGGATGACAAATCATCATAGAGAGTGTAGGGGCGGTGGTGATGGTAGCCAGGACTAGTTCAGATAGCGTTCACTCTTCGTGTCAATCTCGCCAGTCACTGCGCATCCAACCCTGCCTCCTCCACCAACCCGCAAAAAGTTGCTGTGAACAACGCTGTCACTCCACTGAATTCACACAAGAAGTACGCGCAAGAGATGTGCTGCTGTCTTCCGCAGTCATCGAGACCCTTTGACTCAGGTCGGAGTCCGTTCAAGGAATAGCGTCTCTTGCAAGAATACCTGATGCCCGAGAGCTTAAAAGAACAGCTTCCACGCTTGTGGAAAGTTCTGCCGGCATTACATTTCCATAAAAGCCCGTCTGATCCAATCATCTGTTTTGTACAGACATTGTACTGCCAATTTGCCAGGAGGAATGGGGTGATGCCCACATTCACTTTGGAAGAATGCCACCCGATTGTATAACCATCGTGCCCTGCCACTTGCTTTTAGAGTCATGTGGCAGGTCACAATGGTTCAATCCCCGTCCAAGCACAGAGCTGTCCAATCGTGTCTCATTCGGCCAGACACACGTCAATGTTTACGTATGTGTGCATACACGGCTGCGTGCCGAGCCATCGCACCACACGATGAACAGCTTAGCACTTTGCTGAAGCCTTTAGAGGCGTTTAGAAGAAAATTCCTCTTTTATTCAGCCCTGTCCTGTGAGCATCGTAGACTCTCACCCACTTATGTCCATTTCTCAATGCGGGTCGGTGTGGAATTAGGGTCGTCATCTTTCACGCAGCCCAAACCCAGATGTATTATGTCTCAGGCGGCCTTTGTCTGTTATGAAAACGTTGCAGTCTACTGCAATAAATTTCGACACAGTCATACGGGTACCAGATCTCGGCACAAGTAAATTTCTGCCACCCAAAGACAAACGCCTAATTCCAGGTCTGTCTGGACCAAACCCAGACAGGTGGCACTAAAAGTGGAATCCATTCTCCAAATGGAGGAAAGGCCCTGGGTTCATGATAACCCTGGACTCGGCTAGACCTTCTACTGACATGGGTAGAATTCCAGAAAATAAAACGTTCAAATCCAGATGTATGATGACGATCCTTGGTGTAGCTCAAATTGGATCTTAACGTGAACCCTTGTTTACACCATTGGAACCTCATTTGCCAGTAAAAAATATGATAATTGGTTTTTTACCCTTCTATCTGGCAACAAAAAAGGTGTCAGTTTTGTTGCCAGATAGAAGGGTAAAAAACCAATTATCGTGAACCCTTGTTATTGACAGAGTTCTACGTTATAAAGTACAGTCTTCCCTATAACAGGTGAAGGTCAGTCTGCCTCTCTCCACAGAGTAACTATGGTCACTGTCTATGTGCTCTGTTGGGAGATGGAGCTTCATTCCAATACCGTCGTTATTCGCACCTCAGACTTGTATTCTCTCTTCAGAGCGAGTTAATTATGCGTGCGCTGCAAGTTTAAATTATTAATATCATATTAGATGTTTGCGTTGGAAATATTAAGGACATACCAGTGTAAATGTAGGCTCATCCTGTCGATTTTTCAAACGATTAATGGAATAAATAACACTTCAAATAAAACAAACCTGAAATCTTGGCCAATTGTTCCACATTTTTGCCAAAACCATTTAAGGAAGGATTCCCACACTGAGTTATTTCGTGAAGTGGTCTGGTGATCTTAGACCGGTGGATGCTGATGCCCATGTGAGGCCACCGATTTTGCACAGCGTAGATCTGGGTTTAATCCCTGGGCTACAATCCAAGGTGTAACCAGAGCCCGATGTGGAGCGAGTTTGATGGTCTCAGCCCAGACGTTGATAAAAGTGCAAAATATCCATTGCAAGACTGTGGAATCTGCGCTGAATTTGGTAGATCAAAGCTCCGCGTCTTTGGTCACAGTAATGGTCCATTGGATCCTCATCATCGACACCACTTAAGGCACCACCTAGGACACGTGGAAAAGATTACAGCTACCCAACCATCATCATTCAATTGTCCTTCATACACAATCTTTAAAACAACCGTATTTGCATCTTGAAGCACAATTTACACTCATACTTGATTGAACAAAAGCAGGAAACGACGAATGCAACTCCAATGTGGAGTGTGTGTGTGTGGGTGTCTATTTGCGCCTTGCTTCCAGTGTGGAAGGGCTCTGGTAAAGTGCTCCATGAAACAGACGAGCGGAGTCCGCGCTCGTTCCGCGGGAGAGCGTGTCACGTTCGCTTGGCGGCTTTGTCCAAGTTGCATCATTTGCGGGTCATTTTCGAATTTGGACCGCGACACCGGCACGCGTGCCCACTTCTCTTTCAAATAACATCGCAGCATCCTTACAACGAGGACGTTCCTCACGCCCCCCCCACTCCACACACTTTGCACGTACAATATACTTACTGAGAATAGGTTTTCCCCTTTTTTCTGGCAACAAAACAGTTGTGTTAAGATGTTAAAACACCAAACTGAAACCTTTTCAAGGAATCATGTCTGCATTAACCACAATACTTGTGGTCAGAATGCAAACAAAAACATTCTGATAATATATGCATTGTCTTTGAAGCTGATTGGTCCACACTAGAGACAGCTTTCTCGAGCCTCGTCTCAAACAGTGTATGACCAGGGGACGCCAAAAGGCGTGTTGCCAGAAAAAAGGGGAAAACCGATTCTCATATTTTGGTACTGGCAAAGGAGGTCCCATGAAATATACTGACTGCGTATAATTCCCATCGCAGTGCACCCACATGGGCAGTGCGTTGGGATCACCAAGCCCATCGCATCAATCTACAGATATCGAATTCTGCCACGCACGGGTTTTGGACACGGCCCACAAACGCACAGATGTTCCGAGGTTTACTCGCCCGGGCATGATTCGGTCATCAAGGTGGCGGCGCTAATGATAATGGTGATGTATTTTTGACCTGTGCTTGTAATAACCCCCCGACTCGGTCGTTTACGTTGTATTTTATACACGTGCAGATGTTTTGAATTACGCCGAGAGCGCGTAAAGAGGACCACGTGGGTCGGGGAACACGTGCGAGTTAGGGGCTGCTGATTGGCCGTCAAGGTGAGTGGGCTCGGACTGGGGGAGATGATGGGTGGTGGGCGAGGCTGTGTACCTGCGTTGAACTTCTTTCGCACCGTACGTAGCCAACCGTGCTAATCGGAGATGCGATTAGAGGCAGCCAAAGGTGGCAACGGTTCCTGAGCATTCCGCCGTGTGGATGGTGTGCAGAAGCTCGATGCATGGTCGTATATCGAGGCCATGAGAGGAGGTGATAGCTTGCGGAGGCTCATCCAACAACGAATACATCGTAACTGATGTTTTGTACTTCCGGTGTTTTATATTGTTTCAATATAATCATATATTGTGTATTTTTTAGAGGGGTCGCAAAACTGGGAATTTGACATTCTAGTCATGGGCCGTGGGAAAAAAAAGTATTTTAAATATGGGGCCCCCTTGTGTGTGTGTGTGTGCTCTGAAGCATTGGCAGCTCCGGCCGTGTGTATGGGTTGCATTGTTGGTTGGCTGGTCCTCTGAGAATGCTCGCTCTGCGATTGCCAAGAGAAGGAATCATTGTTCATTCATTCATTCATCCTGGCGCTGCAAAAGGGCCTCGGCTTGAAGTCGCATGTCAATAATCGCGCACCGATCGGCACTCTTCCTCTCCTGCGTCCACAATCAGCGGAGAGTTTGTGTCCAGCGTGCAGGCGTCCATCGCTTACTCGTTGCGATCCTTTCGTCCTCCCCCTCTCTCTCTCTCCCTCACGCACGGCCAAAGCCACGTCTGCATACTGGGCCACAACGGCATTTTGCATCACAGTAACAAAACCTGAAGTAATGTAATGACGAATTTTAACGTGAAATGTACTCCGCTTGAACGCTAAGTGAATTGGATGAATATTAGGAAGGCACTAATGCAATTTTGCAAATGGTTGTGCGCAGGTACAAGCTGTTCCTAAAGCATTCCCACCCCCCATGCAGCCCCCCCCCCAAACCCCCCCAAACTCCCCGTGCCGCCAGCGAAGCCGGCCGACGGCGACCTGTGCAGCTGCCACTGCTCGGGCTGCGGGTTCGGTGACGCGTCGACGCGCTGGGCACTTTCTCAAGCGCTCCGGGTTGTGAGCTTGAAATTTGGTTCCAGGAAATCGTTCTTCATGCCACCTTTTTTTTTTCTTGCGGATCAAAAGGAGTTTGAGTTACTTCGGTGACGTCACCAGCAGATCTGTGCGGTTTTGGCGAGCGACTCTGATGAGCCGGGCGGCTGTGAGTGCGGCTAAGTCGGTGTCAACGCTCCAGCTACAGCACAGGTGGCACGGATCAGCGTCTCCCAACTCCAGGAATTGCGACCCCCCGCCGCCGCCGCTGTCGGCCTCTGCTTGATTACAATTCCGTTTTGGAGCTGAGACAAACACTATGGACGATGCTAACGTAATCACATTTTCTGAGTACGGAGAAAAAGTATTGTTTATATTTTGCATTGCTCTGATAAGAATGATTGTGTAAGCGAAGCGTGTTTTAGTTGGACCGCGATCGGACTGCGAGCGGCCGTGTTGCACATCACGCGCTGCGAGCTGCCGGGATGTGAATTGAAGGCCGACGGTTCTGGCCAAACAAACTCTGGCAGCTGACGACTCTGAGAATTTCCTGCCAGCTTCGCTTCGTCAGCGGCCTCCCAAGCTGCTCGCATTCCCTGGGACCGAACCACACCGAGCGTGCGACTTGCGCTCGATGAAGCAGACGATGGCGATACCGTGACGTGATACCGGTCGGC